AAGAAACTTGATGTTGTGAAAATGGGTTGATCGACTTCTACTCACTCAGCTGCAAAGTTTTTCAAAATTGATCGGTCTTGGGTGCGCGGTGAAAAATTTCAATTGAAATGATTGTTTTGTTTGAAAGAAAAGAAAAACAAATGTTTCAACCTGCTGATGTTACTTGGAATGCACCGTTCAAAGCAAAGATCCAACAACAGTATGAGGATGGGATTTGACAAGACCCCAAAAGATGAAACGGGTGGTGGCAGTCCCAAGCCTCCTTCAATGGACGCTTGAGCTGCATTGTGAATGATTGGAACACAATCAGCCAGGAAACCACCTTAAATCTTTCAAAAAATTTGGACTGGGAACCGCTTCAAATGGAGATGAAGATCACTAGATTCACTGTTTCAAACTGGATGGTCCGATCCCTATAGGAATGCTTGCATGGAAAGATGAAGGATGCTTGCATGGAAAAAGAAATCGACGATCTTCTAGAACTCTTCGAATCGACAGGATTTCAGGATTTTCGCAAGGAAAATGATCCAGAAGAAGAAGTCGAGAATTTCGTTGATTCCGATGTTTCGATTGACTTTGATGTCTAGTTTGATCATTTTCAATTTGTTTTTTCTAAATTTTGTTGGTTATTTGCACTTGTTTTTGATGTTTATACTGTTTTTGAATAAAATGGAAAGAAAATTAGTTTATCGAACGAATCAATCTCTCAGTATATCCAACCTTGGTAACTTGAGATTTTTCAAAAGACCAGGTGAAGATTAGAAGCCCGCCTCTAATAGATGTCCCCTCTGGAGGGGGAGGGAAAAAAAATAGAAGCCCCGAGGCTTCAATTACAGTATTTACGGTATATAAATATTTAAATAGTAATTACAGTTTAAAAACTCCTAAATGCCATCGAAACAATTTCCAGTTATCAGTTGGCTTGGCTACAATCAAAATAGAGAGCCGGGTTACCGATGTTACTGCACGAATTTGGGCTATTTCGAACATCGAATGCGAATCAACACACCATATTCGCCGTGTGATAACAGATTGCCAACAAATGACGTCATCGAATCGTGGAACTACAGATACACCTACTACCCCGGTTACTCGTATGGATAGTGTGATGGATTAATAAACAATATTATGGATGGATTAATGGAATGATGGATTAATATTCTATGCCTATTGCCATCACATAAAAATGCAAATTTGATACAATGTTTTGTTACGAAATTGATAGACTTTTTGCTTTTGGGATCAGTCATACTCCTTTGCAAACCACAAATGTTAGTTCTCTAACTCCGAACGAGTCGGATCAGTGGGGATGCCTAGATGCCAACGACAAGCTGTGGTTATCGGATCTCAATTTCGGATGATGTAATTTGTTCTCCTTTTCATCATTAGTTTCCCATTTTAAGACATGCAAAGCCTGTTTGTGGAGTCTTTGTGCAAAAAATCCAAATTTTGAACCACTTTTCGTCAATCAGCCCCGTTTTTCCGCCGGATTCAAAATCTACGCCATGATCACCTCCTACTGCATTGAAATGGTTATCGGGCCTTTTTCCATTGGCAATCTAATTTCGAACTCAAATATCTTAGTGGTGGTCTGTCCAATTTAAATATTCTTGGTATCATTGGATGCGCCTAGTCTTTCTCTGTCGACTAGTACAAAACTATTTAAATTGGGCAGCATAACACCAAGGTATTTGAGCTCAAAGTTAGATTGCCAATGGCAAAAGGGGTGGGGCGCGGATCAAACGTCTCACAATCCATTGAAATTACACATTTCTTTTGTTGCTTGCTTTTTGCTGCGTTGTTCTGTGAGCCTCGGAATCGATGTAAAGTGATTCTTGTTGATTCAGCATCTAGTTTTATCTGATTAGAACCAATTCCCAAATTTGGTCACTTATTTTTGGAAGCCAAAACCATTAAAGCTGTAAAGAATTTCTGTATTCATTGGTGAATTTTCAAATTTCTTACAATTAAAATAGTGACAAGTTCGAAAAAATTAACAATTTCTTTTAAAAAACTTGTGATCCTTTTAGATAAATGAAGTTTTGCAATGAAAACAAAAGCGACAAAAACATTCGAATAAGAACGCAAAGGTCATGAAACTGATTTTGAAAAAAAATAAACAAGAATACTTCCTTCAGCCCATAATGCAGCATATTTTCGTAGACTTACCTCAGATTCTGACTACATTTTCAGCTGTCTTTTCATCACTTTTATACTAAAATGCAGATTTCCTTATTTCCTACTCCTTTTTTGCTTCGAAAAATGTATCTTTTTGTGTTAAATTGAAAGAAATCAAATATCGAGTAAATGTTGTGAGTGCAAGTTTACTTTCTAGACTATCCTGTAGCCTCAAAGTGTATGCTTCAGCAAATCGTTTGCTTGTTTGTTTCAGAAATCACTTACAGTGGAACCGTGCAGTCTTCTAAAAGATCCAGGAACATGCTTGTGAATCCCAAGTTCAAAAATCTGAAAAGAACCAAATTTTGAACCTTATGTTCGATTGTAAATGCAAGAATCTAGCGTTTGGCAGTAATCCCCAACAATGCACAATAGTAATGGAATGAATTCTCTTTTTCATGGCTTTACTGCACATTCTGAATACAGGAATACACAAAAACTTCGTATTTTCAGTTGCTTTACTGAATGCGCTGAATAAAATGTTCGTGAAGCAGTGACAAAGATACAATTTTCATTCACAAACTAAGAAATGCTCTTATTCATTTGTTTCCTATTTTTTTCCACGACTCTGAATGAAACGGTGAGTGTTCCAGCTCGCGGTAACATTGATTTGATAAAGATTTGAGATTTATTTCATCTATTAAAGTATCCGTAAACAATGGATATGATCAGATAGTATTAGGCTGTCCGAGAAGTCTTTGGGCATTTTATAAATCCGTTTAGAAATGAAAATTTCATCAATTGGCCTGGAGTTTTCCCTGAATAGACGTTGCTTATACACTTTTCTATCTTTTTATGCCAATCTAAACCCGTTTCCAAGAAAATTCGAGCGCAGAAAATCATTTTCAATAAAAGAAAAGGTGACAAATTTGATAGTTCGATGAAAGGTGATATAAAGGAATTGGCTGAACCAATTGTTTCGAAAATTTGGCTACAAACCTAACTTTTTGTGCCCATTCTTTATTTATTGACGCCAACAAAGGTTTATTTAGACCAAAGTCCCTAAATCGTGTCATCGTGTCATCGAGTCGTGGCTCTTTTTAACTGCCCAAGTTCGAACTCCGAAGAAAAAGCTAGAAACAAAGCATTTCTTAAGATTTCAACGATTCTTTATAGAAAAGTAGTAGGCCTTTTTAATGGAGCAAACCTCGAATCAGTGAATTCATTCTTTCTAAATAGCTTTTTAAATGAAGCGTCCAAAGACTTATCGGCAAAAATACAAGTTTTATCTTCTTGAGCTTAAAATCATTTTTAGCCTGGTAACCCTCGTGCAAAATGCTTTCTCCCAGGAGATTCCGGTGATTGTCAGTGAGTTGGAGACAAGAGCAGAACCAGTTCTTTAGTTGGAAAGGGTAGAACATTCTATTTTAAGGAAAAGTTGCGAAAGTTTGGCTCATTAACTTGCTATAGGAAAGATCCCAGAGCAGGGCTTGGCTTTTATCTGGCCCTGACAGGCTTGGTGCACAGAAATGACGCCTGGAACAACCATTATTGAGCTTCCGTGCTTGTTGCATGACTTGTGCTTGGCATCAGAATATTAGTTCTAGAAAACGGACATAAAATAGAGTATTTAGTTGCTCTTTTCAGTGCCAACATCACCCACTTCTACTACAACTAAGAACGGCAATTGTGCCTGAAATTGTTCTACACTGGTTGTGGAGGAAATGCGAACAATTTCGATGAGCAAAAGCAAAATGACGTTCAATTGCGATGCACAATTTTAATTTTAGTTTGTTAGAATAAACTTGGCCACAACAAACTTGGCCATTCAGCACTTGAGCTATTTTGAGTCGGCAAAGTAGTTCTATTTTGATCTTTCGAAGCATTTTGACTCACAAACCGTCTGCTATTTTGCTCTGGTCCAAATTTAGATCAAGGACTCTAATTTTAGAAACTTTTATGCTAGATGGAATAATTTTCACAAATTAATCTTTAAATATCGGTTTGGATGACCAAAGTTTCATTCATAAACAACAAATGCGCAAGTACTCATTCAAAGGTTTATAAAATGAGTTGTAGATTTTCAATCGGGAAACTTTAAATAGATAAATATAGTCAAGATTAAGCGCTTCAATATTTTATATAACACTTAACACATTAGGATTGAACTTGATGTTTGGGAGCTAATCAACCAAAAAGAAGTCGCCGTAAATACTGAGCACCCTGTATTAATAAACCGTAAAATTATAAATTTAATCTTTAAACTATCCTTAAGGCTCTAAATTATGTTTAGATAGCTGGTCTAATATTATAGAAAGAATTGGTAACGTTTGTGTTGACGAAGCGTCAATCCGTTGTGTACTTGTATCACGAGCGGGCCTTATCATCATTTTTCGATCATTTTGTTCTAAGCGCTGGTTAATGCTAAAAATATGTGTTATATTGTTAATTTGATACCCAAGCGCGCAGAAATAAACGTACTGGTGTCGAGATTTGAGCGTTTGTTTGAGAGTAAACTTGGACTACGCGACGCTCCTATAGGGGGTTCTTCTGTTAAACCTTTTACGGTATCTGCTCTCTGAATATCTTATGGTTTAGACTTTAATCTCAACATATTCAATCAAATATGAAAAGAAAGAAGGCGGTTAACTTTCGAGCAGTCGCTTTCAAACAGTTTTCAAAAAGACCCGTGTTTATATTATTTTGGAAAAACACAGCTTTTGCTTCCAAGCATCTAAAAGTTCGTTAAAAGTTTAGGTAGAGTTAAAAATATTCTTTCATTTTTACCACCCTCAACACACAAACTCTCAATTCGATTTCTTTCTTGCGTTCATTTTCTTTTTGTTGATTGTTCAATGATTCTAATGCTTTCTTTTTAGGAAATGAGAGTGTTTGAATCGCTCAACTGCATTGTCTGCAAGCAACCGTGTAGGTTTTAGCTTTTCAGTTATGGATTTCGAAATAATCTAGATTTTAAAGCGTAAACAAGTGGGTTTTTGTTTGATTTGCCAATCTTTTAGATGCTCGAGTTGTTAATCAACCTCGATCTCCACGTCAATTTCGCTGTGGATTGGCCATGTGCAACGAATGTTTCGTGGAAGAAGGAAGAAAACATCAATGTGGACTTAGTGATTGTTTCAATAATAATCGCAATTTTGCCTACTTTTTGATTGGTGAATTTTATTTCAACTAAAAACAAGATTAATTAATCGAATTGTTTTAGACATTTTGTCACAAGAAAACGCTCTGATGTTTACTCCAATGGGATATTGGCTTGTGAAGGTTGGATTTGTGATTTATAAATCATTGTGATTCTTTTAGCCTTTCAAAATTCCGAAATGTCCAATTTGTCATGGTGAATGTAAGTTTGATGACTTGCTTTAAAAAAATCTTGCTTTAGATTCAAATGAAATTGAGGCAAAGAAATCGTTTGCTCTTCGATGTGGGCATATCATTTGCATGCAATGCTGTTTGAAGACAAGTCAGAAGGATTCTAAGGATCCAAGTCACTGCGTCCAAATCAAAATCAAATGTCCAACTTGTAATCTCTTCTCAGATCCTAGTTACACTGCTGTCAAGAAAAAGAAAGAACCGTTTCATGGTAAATGAATTCTCTTTACGTTCACTAATTCTTCTTTAGATTTTTTAAATGAACTACCCGAAATGACTAGGCAGATGAAACAGATGGATAATCCAAAAATGAAAGCTTCGCTGAATGCTGTGATGAATACTTTACCGAGTTCCGAAGATGATCCTAGCTGCAGTGAATGTCACAAAAAGGTATGCTTACTTCACTTGATTTCTATGGAGATATTTTAGGGTATTGTCGACGAAATGTTTTATTGCAGTGAATGTGGTTTTGAAGTAAGATATTGTTAATATTGATTAAGCCCTTTTGTTGTTATAGATTTGTGCTGTTTGTGCTTGCAAAAAACATCGTTTGCATGAAGTCATTCCTCTATTGGAAAAACAGGTATCTTTTGCATCTTGTTATTGGTTTTGTTAGTTTGGAATTGAAAGGTCTACCATATTAATTTCGTGTGTTTAGGCTAACCAAATGTTGATGAAACGTCAACAAGAGTCAAGAAATGTCATCAAGACATACAAGAAGTTGGTTCCTGAACTACACAAGAACCTTCTCGAGGGCATTGACGTCTTTGAAATGGTATTTTTATCAAATAAAACCAATTGAAGTCGATATTTCTTTAGAAATTGCTTTTGAAAGAAGAAACTCTCAAGGGCGCTCCAAATTTGGCCGATTTACAGGAGAAACACGAGGCATTCACGTAAGTTTTCGGATTTCGAAACGAAAGATTTGTTTTTAAGAAAAATTACGTCCAAGTTTGAGTCATCCGCTAAGAATTACTTGCCTCATTTGCGCAGATTCGATGCTGAAGTCAAAGTGAGTTGATTGGGGTTTTAAAGAGAATTTAAGTTAATTTGTTTAGCAATTGATTCGAACCCTCAACGAGAACCCTGATGTCGAGGAAATCCGAATACAAGATTATGTGGATCATATGAATAATTCTTTTGATGCATTTCCCGTAGATTCTCATTTGCGCAGATTCGATGCTGAATTCAAGGTGAGTTGATTGGGGTTTTAAAGAGAATTTAAGTTAATTTGTTTAGCAATTGATTCGAACCCTCAACGAACTCAACCCTGATGCCTAGGAAATCCGAATACAAGATTATATGGAAAACTTCTAATTAAGAATTATTTTGATGTATTTTGCGAATAAAGTGCCGAATAAAGCATATTTATTGAGGCATATTTCCATCTCAACCATAAATCCCAATTCAAAATGTTCGAATTCCAGCGAAGAGTCAACTATTCTTCCTAAAATCCGAGTTTAGCTGATGGCAATAAGCTTACTATTCGTTATCATTGGAACCCGTCAGCTGTCAACTATTTACAAAGGCTCATAATGCAATTAATCGTGACGCCATTATAAAAAGCGCGAAAAAGGCTTCTCGAAAATAAATCTATGGCGAAGAAAGTGATCGAGATGCAGAACTACTTCTCTTTGATTTCTTTTCTCCAGGTTTCTTTTTCAAACACCGATTCAAATTTCGAAAGTTGGGAGGCTAGACAAAGCTGACTGTCACATTTTTGGCTAGAAATTAATGATTAGTGAGACTCAATCACTGTTGATTTAGCAGGTGTTAAACACATTGATTGGACTGTAACAGTGATGGAAAAAAGTATTGGCCGGCCAATGTTTGCTCATTTTTCTTTCATTAGATCGCCCTCAAAACTGGGTATGTAATTGAGTATTATCTTTCACTTCACTTATAATAATAACCTTTACATTCCATGATATCAGTCTGTTGAACCAGTTCCAGTTCATCACCAAATATGTGCAAGAAATATTGACAAGACGCTTCGATTTAAAAAATAAAACTTGACTTGAAGAGTTTCTTGATTCAAATTTCAACACATCTAAAGTTATACTTCATTATAAGAAATGTTTTTACCGAGAAAACTCATCTCCATTTCAAAAAACAAATCAATTCTTTCTCTCCTCAGTTTCTCTTTTCTTTCCCGGTCTATTTTGTGATTTCTCTCCCTCCACCCAAGTTCTTTTCTCTGCTTTTCTCTACCTTTGAAAAACTTTTTGTTCTCTGATATTAGTGGGGATTTTCGATTGGAAAAGAACACAATTTTCATTTCATATAATTTCCATTTCGTACAATTCTTTTGATTAACAACTCATTCATTCTAGATTTTGAATTTTTCAGTTTTCACTTTAATCTTGGCCTTTTTTATTGTATTTGTTTATAATTTTTGATCAATATTTGAAAATCTATTATATTTTGAAACATTGAAACATTTTAGTTACAAAAAATGGATATTAAAGAAATCGAGGAAGAGGAAATCGTCGATCTGATAGCTTCGATAGCCGAGAAATGTCATGTTTGTGGGAAAATACCGGCATCAAAGGTTTATGGATCGATTGCGTGTGCGTGAGTGTTTCAAGAAAAACCTAGATTTAAATCTATATGAGCGATAAGATTACAAGGAAACAAGACGATCAATTTGCAATAACTAACTAGCGAAAGACCCGGAATAGATTTCATTACTAGTAACCAGGGGAAAATCCAGCGGGATTTCCAGCTTTTGCCTCATAAATCCCCACCTTTTCCCCACTTAATTTGCTTAAATGCTGAAAATTAGCATAATTCTTTCTTTTTTCTTTCATTTTTCATTTCTTTCATTTCCCCTAAAATAGCAGTCAGATCCTTTAAATTTTAAATTTATTGAAAAGAATAAAAAAAAGTTGTTGAATCTGATGAAAAAGTGAAGGCTGATTGTTCTCCACCTCTGAGACCCTAGCTACATTTAAAAATATATAAATTTACACGAATAATGTGGTACAAACAATACACAAGCACTGCCCCTAGCACCACCAAGTTACCAAGTTTCCAAGTTTACCACCGAGCTTCAAAGTGCGACCTAGTCTATTTTGCAGCAAATTTTTCGTTGACTCCGAATATCCAGGTCGTTTGTGAGTTATGGGTTCAAATTTTCGATTTAAATCCTTTTAAAGTTTGTTTGTCTAGAAAAAACAGTTTTTGCGTTTGCGCCAATTATCTGATTGCGCGAGTATCAAGCTCTGGGTTTGCGCTCACCGAAGCACTTAGCCAGTCGGCCATGGCGGAGACTTTCACTCTCTCATTAAAGGTGATTTAAAAAGACTCGTGAAGCGAAATCTTGAGAGCAAACAGACAAACAAACATTTACCAACATAAATATCAAATCTTCTCCCGAAAGTAGTTACTTTTAGTAGTTGTAAAGTTTTCTTCATGCGCGCCACCACTTCGGTGGCTTCGACATCAAAATGTCCAACTGATGGGAAATGCGTGATCAATCACATTGCTGCAGGTGATTCGAATCATTTTTTAACTTGCAAACATTTCAGGAAAGGCCAGATGTATTAGTTGTCGCTACAGGAAGTGTTTGATGGTCGGGATGAGTCCGGAATGTTGGTTAGAGAATGTATTACTATGAAACTTACATTTTTATTTTTGACCAAGTTTGAAAGGCGATATCACAGTGAATATTTAACCAAATTTCATTCTCTTTTTTTTTCCTCTAACATTCCGCTACAATTTTTATAATAGGTTTATCATGTGAAAATGCCCACAAACTTTTTTTAGAAGAATTCGTGAAAGCTAAGTTTTTCGAAAAGTCCTTTTATGAAGATTTAACTTAGACTCAAAAAAGTTTCTAGGCAGTTGATAATAAGCACATGATAAGCTTATTATAAAAGTTGTAGAAGAATGTTAGAGGAACAAAATAAAGTAATGTAATAAAAAATAAAATAAGAGATTGAAATTTGGTTGAATATTCACTGAGGTGTGGCCCTTCAAACTTGGTCAAAAATAAAAACATACCTTTCATTGGTGTGCACCTAGTAGTGAACTGGATTCTTGAATTAGTTGTCATACTTACTAGGGAAAGGCATCAAGAGGATGTAGGACTTTAGCATGTGACCATATGCAACTTGTAGAGTTCGACATGGGGATTAAAACGCTGAATTTATTGTTTGTTTCTGAACACATGTTAAAAGCATCCTCTTGGTGCCTTTCCCTAGTTAGAAGGCATATAACATACTATACCGGATAGCCCAGTGGTTAGAGCATCTGGAAAGCAAAAGGTCGAAGGTTCAATCCCTCTCCGGAAATCTTTCTTTACCATTCCTTACTATACTTTATTACTATTAGGTTGGTGGGAAAATAATCGAAATTTGGAGCCTCTAACTTCAAGTCCAAAACTAAAAGTCAATAAAAAATGAATTTATTCAAAGTAAAAACCATCAGTATCGATACACTGCTGCCAACGCGAAACAAGTTTTCCAATCCCATCAGTATAGAAATTTGGCGTTTTCGAGTCGATAAACTGCTGGAAAGCGTTTCCGGCCTCGCCTTGATTCTTGAACTGTTTATCTTCTAGAAAATGGCACAGATGCTTGAAAAAGTGGAAATGTTTTGATCGAATCTCCTTCCACCAGTTTTTCCAATTCTTCATCCTCAACTCTGGGAGGCCTTCCTTCACGTTCTTTGTTATGAAACGTCTCATCGCCCGAGTGAAATCGCCGAAACCAAAAAGCGACCATACCATAAGAAACACTTCCCTCGCCAAATGCACTGTTGATATTACCAGTCGCTTCTGTTGCTGTATGGCCAAGCTTGAACTCGTAGAAGAAAAGTGTCCGAAATTGTTCCTTATCCATGCTCTTAAAACATTCAATTTTCATTCAAAATAAAGACTGATTGTAAAGTAAAAAAAACATAAAGAGAAGAACATATATCAATCACAATTAGCTAAAACTTTAGTATCAATGACACAAAAGGACTTTTAAAATCAAAGACAAAGTTTGAGTCTTGTTTATTTCGATTATTTTCCCACCAACCTAATACAATACTATCCTTTATTTTTTACAAGTTATGACCTTCAAAGTACGATAACTCATTGAAAAACCTGAGTCTTTTTCAAAGAAAGATTTATTTTCAGCAACGGCACGTCGAAAAGGTTGCCAACTACGCGAGAAACGAGCCCAAATCGGTTTGAAACCTCGTGGTAGACCGAGACACGATAAACTGATGAATTGTTTGAAAGAAACGCTTTTAGCTGTGGCTGATGTAAGTTATAACACAGTTATAACAAACCAATTGTAGTATTTGAAGAGAGTTTGAGAGAACAGGCAGAGATAGCTGTAGCTAGGTTCAATGTAGCTGCTAAAGTATCTAATTTAAGTCAACAATTGTTCAGAAAGAGCCTCGTCTTCCTCAACTCCCTCTTTCGACAATGGTCGTTGAGCCAGCTATCGATTCAGTCAGTTTCAGGAAATTTGTGTCAACCTATAGAAAACCTTAGAAAGAGTTGAGGCTTCAATCTGTTTGCTTCTCGTCTCCACTCATCTCACATAGCGGAGACTCGAAAAACATGATCAAAAACTTTATAAATCTACACAAGTTGTTTGTTTTAATAAGTCAAACAATATTTGTTCTAGTTTATTGGCAAATGATGATTTGAGTCAATCGATGACCGTCGACTTTCCATTTTCACTTGATTGTTCAATAGGGACTTTTCTCAAAAACCCAGCTATTGTATGTCCGCGTGTACCGGTGAGTGATGTAATCTTAAAATCGGCTTTAATAATAAGTTTAACATTTTATTCTAAAGTTGTCAATTCAAAATTTTCATTGAAATTACTTGATCATTGGTCACTTTGCTCTGCAATTGAGTCCCTTAAGCCCCTCAGAAGCTACCACAGTTAACCGTCCTGTAATTGGCCAATTCCATCTCGTTTTACTATTTGCAAAAAAATGATCAATAAGGGAAAAGCACCGAGTCAAACTGGCCTTTCGACTCGTCCATCTTATAGAACCGGCTATGAGGAGCTCGAATCCGTTTTTAGTTTTTGCAGAACGCTTCGCAAACGCGAGTTATTTGGCATAGACTGTTTACGCAAACTTACCGCTGAGATCTAATTTTCAGACTCCTTAAGAAGCTGTCATACGCTCCCCTAACCACTGCCTCCGAATCTATTACGTTTTTTTGCCCTCAGGTTCGAATCCCACTCTCACCAAACTTTTTTGCCTTTTTAAAAAACTATTTCTTTACGTATTTGCAATGAATAATAGAATTGGATTCTATACACCTATAGCTTTCAGAAATGTGGCAACAAATGTTGAACTTTTCAATACTTATCTACTGATTCTGATACTTTGGATGGTTCCAGCTTTTGTAAATGGCAACCTGCAAAATGCAAAGGGATGCAAAGGGACAAAGGGACACAAAGGTTTAGCAAAATGCAAAGGGTTGCAAAAGTTTCCAGCGAATATCTTTCACTGACCAACTGAACTCTTTGTCTTTTGCAAAACCTTTTGCAACCGTTTGCATTTTGCTAAACCTTTGCATCCCTTTGCATTTCGCCTTTGTAAATTATTGAAGCTACAGAAAGCGCGAGCGTGTGACAGCTTCTTAAGGAGTCCGACATTTAAAGGAAGCGTGTGATAAGGAGCTCGAAATTCAATGTGATTTTCTATGCCAAATATTTAGCGTTTGCGAAGCGCTCTGCAAAAACTAAAAACGAATTCGTGTTTCCCATGGCCGACTCTATAAGATGGGCTTGGTCTCGAGTCAAAAGACCAGCTTGACTCGGTGCCTTTTTTTTTGTAGACTCTTTTTAGTGACTAGAAAAGCATTTCGCAATTTCAGCTAGGAATTCAAAGCTCATCAAATCCGCTAATTCCGGCGCATTGTGCAAATGAAATGCTCGTTCGGGTCTTCGTTCGCTTTTTGGTCGCTTTTGCCGATTGGTGTCGCTCAACGCCGGAGTTTCTCGATTTGGATGAAGAGGATCAGGTAGACCGGAAATTGTTAAGCTCTATAAACCGGCTTATGAATTTGATTATAAACAATAGTGTTTGCCAGATGAGTTTTTAAATCCGAGGAACTGTTAATCCTGGTAATCGGGAAAGACGGGAAACTGATCAGACTTTTGATTCGATAACGTTTTTAATGGCGAAAATAAAAGATTAGACTCATTGTTTCAAACAATAATTTTCAGATAAAGTTCTTTGCTCGAAAAATGACAATGTTTGTTCAATTTCAAAACTACTACACAACGTATAACAACAAATTCGATGAGGGACTTATAACAGCTTTTGGAATCAGGGTGAAGCTAGCGGAAATGTTGCATTTTGAAGAGTTAGTTATTACTGAGTAATTGAGTAAGTAATTTGTCAAATTTCAGTGCCAAAGAAACTTATTCCTATCAATTTGATTGTGGAATGAATGTCGTGATCCCTTTAATGAAAAGAACTCAAATGGGAGACGAGGAGTATGTGTTGATCAAGAATATTGTATTGTTTAGTTCAGGTTGTTGGGTGGTTCGCTTTTTTTTCTAAATTTACAGATTGCAGATCTCGACTACAAGGAAAACAGTGTGGAAATAATTCGTAAAGCCTTCAAGAAGTACGCAAACATTTTGCTCGAGGTGTGATTGAGTTTGTTGACTGGGGAAGGGTTATCGGACATTTGAGAAGCGCCCCGGCCCTTTTGCGATTGGCAATCTAACTTTGAGCTCAAATATCTTGGTGCTGAGCTGTCTAATTTAAATAGTTTGTACCATTCGACAGAGAAAGACTAGGCACATCCAATGATACCAAGAATATTAAAATTGAACACCTCAACACCAAGATATATGTGAGCTCAAAGTTTGATGGCAAAGGGGGCGGAGCAAAAGGCGCGAGGCGATACGCGTCCCGCGCCTTTTTCCATTGGCAATCCAATTTTAAGCTCAAATTTCTTGGTGTTGGGCTGTCCAATTTAAATAGTTTTAAATAGTGTAGCATCTCAAGTCGAGGTACAACGATGAAAATCAAGTGATCGCAACGTTCAACGATCTTATGATGATACCCAGATGTATGCAGGTGAAAATATAATTAGCCAGATGCTATTTTTTGTCGATGGTACTTGAGTTAATCCCTATTCAATATAAAGCATGAGTTTAAAACGATTTTCCAGAGTTTGGGTGAAAAAATGAATCGACACTACTCATCACTTGTGCTCACAAATTGTGGAAATGTTCGCGGCTCGCTATCCGAAGAGATATTTTGGCGGTTATGAAACAATAAATACATCTTTAAACATCAAAAACAGTACGGAAAAAAATCAAAGAACAACAATACAAATCTTATAAATGTTGCGATAAATGCGATAAATATTTTCTGCGCTTTTGTTTTATTCGTTTTTGTTTATCTGTTCGATCGGTCAGAGCCCAAACCGAGTTCAAGGTCAATCACTCGATGATCACAAGAAAACAGAGAGCATTTTTGTGATCCAGAGCTTTGGCTTCATTCCATTTGACCAACTTCGTTCGTTTGACGGAAACGTGAACTCCGATGTTGATTTGAGGAGGGTATAAAATTTGGAAATTCCTTTCCGATAACATCTAAAACGTTAGTCAATGAAAACCCTGGCACTTTTTTACCTTTTTGCAGTATTTTGTATTTCTCGTAAGTTTTTTTCTGTTGAATTTCAGTTAAAGTAGTGGATTTTAGTGGAAACAAAATCAACAAATGAACGCCAATCATTGGATTTAACTCAAAAAGTCGGGAATGATAAAAAAAGAGTGAAACGAATCGCTTATCACATTCCGAGCTGTGAGTTTTATGAGTGTAAAATTAGTTTTGCTCAACTTTTCTGTAGAAAAAGCTTTGCTAAAGTTTCCAATAAATGGAAATGAGACTCCAAATGTCGATTGTTTTCAGCTAATGGTGATGAGACCGTGTTCGTTCCTTTGTTTGGTGAGTTCTCTCATTTTAAAACTCAGTGAGTAAACAAGTCTAATCTAACAACTTGTAACAACTTGTAACAATCTAACAAGACAAGAAATCTCACAGTCTATCTGTTTTTTATTTTACAATTACAAAGAGATTTACGAAAAAGTTATCAACAATCAAATCAGTTCAATATCTTAGGTCGATGGGGTCTATCGATTTCGTCAAACGTTGGTTTCGGAGGACTCTTTGGACATCGACGATATGGTAAACGTGGTTTTTCGATCAGAATATCCAATTGCTCCGATTTTTTGTACAGGTGGCTACAGTGGATACAATGGGTATAATAGATACGGTGGTTATGGATACACTGGCGTCACACCAACCCAATATCGATATTTCAACTTAGGTCAACCGCTTGGACAATGCCAGGGTGAGTTGACAAGATAAGTGAACATGCTTATCGGCATATAAAAATCGTTATGGATAAAAAAAACTTTTATATGCTATTTTAAATATAAATAAATACCGTAAATACTTTAATTGAAGCCCCCGCCCAAATTTGTATTCATTTTGCTCCAAATTTGCATAATTTTCCTTTTTGCATCAATTTATACTGTATACTTCTGGTTCATTTCATTTGTTTCTTTATATTTTTACACTTTTTTTGTTGAGAAATTGTAAAACATTGAACTTTTCGATGATTTACAGCTTCTCAATACGTTTCTAATTGTTTTTTTAGGTAGAATAGACAATTTTGGCGACGGATTGGAGGCGTTCCGCGACGGATTAGGATCGCTTCCAGGAGCTTGAGCGAGATCTTTTTGAGGAACAATGAGGAAAGCGATGTGGATGTAGATTTGATTGAAGTCGGAAGAAAAACGAAGCGGAAAACGATTGACATCAAGAAGAAACTTGATGTTGTGAAAATGGGTTGATCGACTTCTACTCACTCAGCTGCAAAGTTTTTCAAAATTGATCGGTCTTGTGTGCGTGGTGAAAAATTTCAATTGAAATGATTGTTTTGTTTGAAAGAAAAAAAAAACAAATGTTTCAACCTGCTGATGTTACTTGGGATGCACCGTTCAAAGCAAAGATCCGACAACAGTATGAGGATGGGATTTGACAAGATCCCAAAAAGATGAAACGGGTGGTGGCAGTCCAAAGCCTCCTTCAATGGACACTTGAGCTGGATTGTGGATGATTGGAACACAATCAGCCAGGAAACCACCTTAAATCTTTCAAAAAATTTGGACTGGGAACCGCTTCAAATGGAGATGAAGATCACTAGATTCACTGTTTCAAACTGGATGTTTCGAACCCTACAATGCACATGCTGAAGGATGCTTGCATGGAAAAAGAAATCGACGATCTTCTAGAACTCTTCGAAACGACAGGTCCAGAAGAAGTCCATAATTTCGTTGACTCCGATGTTTCGATTGACTTTCATGTCTAGCTTGATCATTTTCAATTTATTTTTGCCAAATTTTGTTGATTATTTGCACTTGTTTTTGATGTTTAGATTGTTTTTGAATAAAATTGAAAGAAAATTTAGTTTATCGAACGAATCAATATATCCAACTGTCAGTATCTCCAACTTTGGTAACTTGAGATTTTTCAAAAGGCCAGGTGAAGATTAGAAGTCCCCCTCTAATAGATGTCCCCTCTGGAGAGAGAGGGAAAAAAATCGAAGCCCCGAGGCTTTAATTACAACATTTACGGTATATAAACATTTAAATAGTAATTACCGTTTAATTACCTAAATGCCATCGAAACAATTTCCAGTTATCAGCTGGCTTGGCTACAATCAAAATAGAGAGCCGGGTTACCGATGTTACTGCACGAATTTGGGCTATTTCGAACATCGAATGCGAATCAACACACCATATTCGCCGTGTGACAACAGATTGCCAACAAATGACATCATCGAATCGTGGAGCTACAGATACACCTACTACCCCGGTTACTCGTATGGATAGTGTGATGGATTAATAAACAATATTATGGATGGATTAATGGAATGATGGATTAATATTCTATGCCAATTCCCATCACATAAAAATGCAAATTTGATACAATGTTTTGTTTCGAAATTGATAGACTTTTTGCTTTTGGGATCAGTCACACTGCTTTGCAAGCCACAAATGTTAGTCCTCTAGCTCCAAACTAGTCGGATCAGTGGGGATGCCTAGATGCCAACGACTAGCTGTGGTTATCGGATCCCAATTTCGGATCATGTAATTTGTGCTCCTTTTCATCATTAGCTTCCCATTTTAAGACATGCAAAGCCTGTTTGCGGAGTCTTTTTGCAAAAAATCCCAATTTTGAACCACTTTTCATCAATAAGCCCCGTTTTTCCGCTGGATTCAAAATCTACGCCATGATCACCCCCTACTGCATTGAAATGGTTATCGGGCCTTTTTCCATTAGCAATCTAATTTCGAGCTCAAATATCTTAGTGTTGGTCTGTCCAATCTAAATATTCTTGATATCATTGGATGCGCCTAGTCTTTCTCTGTCGATTAGTACAAAACTATTTAAATTGGACAGCTTAACACCAAGGTATGTGAGCTCAAAGTTAGATTGCCAATGGCAAAAGGGGCGGGGCGCGGATCAAACGTCTCACAATCCATTGAAATTACTCATTTTCTTTGTTCCTTGCTTTTTGCTGCGTTGTTCTGTGAGCCTCGGAATCGGTGTAAAGTGATTCTTGTTGATTCAGCATCTAGTTTTATCTGATTAGAACCAATTCCCAAACTTGGTCACTTATTTTTGGAAGCCAAAACCATTAAAGCAGTAAAGAATTTCTGTGTTCATTGATGAATTTTCAAATTTCTTACAATTAAAATAGTGACAATTTCGAAAAAATTAACAATTTCTTTTAAAGAGTAAAAGTTGTGAGTGCAAGTTTACTTTCTAGCCTATCCCGTAGCCTCAAAGTGTATGTTTCAACAAATTCTTTGCTTGTGGGTTTCAGAAATCACTTACAGTAGAACCGTGTAGTCTTCTAAAAGATCCAGGAACATGCTTGTGAGTGTGAGTGTGAGTCCCAAGTTTAAAAATCTGACAAAAACGAAATTTTGAACCTTATAATCGATTGTAAATACAAGAATTCAGTGTTTGGGAGTATTTCCAAACAATACACAATAGTAAAAGAATGAATCCTCTTTTTCATGGCTTTACTGCACATTCTGAATACAAAAACTTCGCAGTTTCAGTTACTTTACTGAATGAGCTGAATAAAATGTTCGTGAAACAGTGACAAAGATACAATTTTCATTCACAAACTAAGAAATGCTCTTATTCATTTGTTTCCTATTTTTTTCGACGACTTTGAGTGAAACGGTGAGTGTTCCAGCTCGCGGTAACATTGATTTGATAAAGATTTAAGATTTATTTGATCTGTTAAAGTATCCGTAAACAATGGATATGATCACATAGTATTAGGCTGTCCGAGAAGGCTTAGGACATTTTAGAAATCTGTTTAGAAATGAAAATTTCATCAATTGGCCTAGAGTTTTCCCTGAATAGATGTTGCTTATACACTTTTCTATCTTTTTATGCCAATCTAAATCCGTTTCCAAGTAAATTCGAGCGCACAAAATCATTTTCAATAAAAGAAAAAGGTGAAAAATTTGATAGTTCGATAAAAGGTGATATAAAGGAATTGGCGGAACGAATTGTTTTAAAAATTTGGCTAAAAACCTAACTTTTTGTGCCCATTCTTTATTTATTGACGCCAACAAAGGTTTCTTTAGACCAAAGTGCCTAAATCGTGTCATCGTGTCATCGTGTCATCGAGTCGTGGCTCTTTTTAACTGCCCAAGTTCGAACTCCGAAGAAAACGCTAGAAACAAAGCATTTCTTAAGATTTCAACGATGCTTTATAGAAAAATAGTAGGCCTTTTTAATGGAGCAAACCTCGAATCGGTGAATTCATTCTTTCTAACCAGCTTTTTAAATGAATGTCCAAAGACTTATCGGCAAAAATACAAGTTTTATCTTCTTAAGCTTAAAATCATTTTTAGCCTGGCAATCCTCGTGCAAGATGCTTTCTCCCAGGAGATTCCGGTGGTTGTGGGTGAGTTGGAGACAACAGTAGAACCAGTTCTTTAGTTAGAAAGGGTAGAACATTCTTTTTTAGCAAGAGTTGCCAAAGCTTGGCTCATTGACTTGCTATAGGAAAGATCCCAGAACTGGGTCTGGCTTTTATCTGGCCCTGACAGGCTTGGTCCACAGAAGTGACTCCTGGAATAACCATTATTAAGCTCTCGTGCTTGTTGCCAGACTTGTGTTTGGCATCAGAATATTAGTTCTAGAAAACGGACATAAAATAGAGTATTTAGTTGCTCTTTTCAGTGCCAACATCACCCACTTCTACTACAACCAAGAACGGCAATTGTGCCTGAAATTGTTCTACACTGGTTGTGGAGGAAATGCAAACAATTTCGATGAATTGCACGATTGCATCACTTTGTGCCATGGAGCAGAAATGACTTTGGGCAGTGAACCGCCAACAACTTTCCCTTCAACCATCGATCCATCAACCAATCCACCAATGGAACCTCCGATCAATTCAAATGTTCAAACGACATAATCCTCACCGCAAACTACTGTAAAAAGCAAGAAATCAATGTTACATGAATGAATTCTAACCGCAAGACTCATTCATCTTTATTTACATTGTAATGACGTTCAATTGCGATGCACAATTTTAATTTTAGTTTGTTAGAATAAGCTTGGCCATTCAGCACTTGAGCTATTTTGAGTCGGCAAAGTAGTTCTATTTTGATCTTTCGAAGCATTTTGACTCGCAAACCGTCTGCTATTTTGCTCTGGTCCAAATTTAGATCAAGGACTCTAATTTTAGAAACTTTTATGCTAGATGGAATAATGTTCACAAATCAGCCTTTAAATATCCGTTTGGATGACCAAGGTTTCATCCATAAACAGCAAATGCGCAAGTACTCATTCCAAGGCTTATAAAATGAGTTGTAGATCTTCAATCGGGAAACTTTTAGTAGATAAATATAGCCAAGATTAAGGGCTTCAATATTTTTATAACATTTGACACATTAGGGTTGAACTAGATGGTTGGGAGCTAATCAACCAAAAAGAAGTCGTCGTAAATACGGAGCACCAAGTATTAATGAACCGTAAAATTATAAAGCTGATCTTTAAACTATCCTTAAGGTTCTAAATTCTGTTTAAATAGCTTGTCTAATATTATAGAAAAAATTTGATAATGTTTGTGTTGACGAAGCGTCAATCCTTTGTGTACTTGTATCACGAGCGGGCCTTATGCTGAATATTGCATGCTCTTGTTATATTGTGAGCGTTTTTGGGAAACCCGTTTAACCTTTTATTCTATTCGGCTTCTGAAACAAAATCGTCCCCAATGATAAGATTGAAGCCGGTCACGCCCCGAACTATTGAATTCGGCCTATTCAGCCTTCTGGCACTTCTTCAAAACAACAACTGGCTTACCGTATTCTCTCTAATCCAGCAGATCCAATCTTCTTCGCCGCTCTGCAACAGCTTTCAACACAGCTTCCAATATTACTCCTTCATTGAGAACCATTTCATATCTGACAAACTGGTCCAGAGTCTTCTTGGCCTTTTCGATAGTTCGTTGTGAGCCAATGGTTACCCCTTGGTTTGACTGAAGAAAATGGTTTACAGATAATAGTCCTTTATTTGATAGATTGGCACTTTTTTTCATACCGAGCATAGCTTCTGGAGTTGGAGGAGTTGGTGATTTGGTTTGAATATGTGATGTTGAAGCGACAGAATCATCATCTTTTTGCTTTGCTTTTGCCACATAGACGGCGTTTTCACGATTTTGCTCGGCTCTTTTCTTTTCATTATCTTTCAAAATCCTTGCCTCCAGTGCTCCTTTCAAATGTGCTTTCCTGTCGAATTCTTTTTCTTTTTGTTGATTGTCTGCGGATCGCGATGACCTTTCTTCTTTTGATTGCACAGGATTTCCAGGAACTTTCCCACTTCGTAATCCGTGCATGTTGTTTTGATTCGTTTGGCGTCCATGTTCCAAGTTGCCACTTCCAGACTTTTTTGCCTCTGATGATCGTCCCATCTGCAAATTATAACTTTTGTTTTGAAAATGTCGGAAATACAAATGTAATAAGAAAAATAATAATACGCTAATAATCAAAAAACAAATAATCGGAAAGCAAAATTGTCTGTAACTAAATGATTTTCTCCTGCGATTGACATTTTACCAACATCAAAGGTGCGCGCGGACCATGTAATCGCGCACTTCTAAAAAACCTAGGCTTCAGAGCTCGCGTTTCCATTGACCAAAACACAAAATTAAAAAACAGTCCCCGATTAACTTTTTGGGTAGAATTCAGAAATTTGCTTTTTGAGCTTAGTTTATCAGCTAGATTTTCGTGAAAAAAAATTATTTTGACTTTTCGGCGCAGAATATTGAAGAAATTTCATGGGAAAATAGAATTCCACAAAAATTCAATTCAGTATTCTGAAAGAGCGTGATAAGAGCTATTGAATGACATATAACACTTTATGGTTCGATGAAATATGAAATTTCACGAACATCAAAGTCGCCGCCTTTAATTCTGAAATTTTGGATGATAGTTTTTGGATTATTTTGTTTTTTCCGTTCATTTTTAGGCCTAACTTAAAACTTGTAGTGTTTGAATTTTTGATTTAAGGAAAAAAAAATTGCACTGGGGTGTAATCGATGTGCGTTGTCATGTTGAAGATGGAATTGGCGATCATCTGAATAAGTAAATAAACTATTTTTTTCAAGCTAACGGTTAGAAAAGAGCTGGTTACGATTTAGTTTTTATCAATTTTAAGGCTCAAACCTCTAACCCATAATTAAGCTTTGGGATTGTACAGCAATAGCTAACCAAAATTACACTTTCGTGTAAAAACTGGTATTCAAAACGTTTGCAAGTTCAAAAATGATTTGAATCACCTGCAGCAATGTGATTGATCACGCATTTCCCATCAGTTGGACATTTTGATGTCGAAGCCACCGAAGTGGTGGCGCGCATGAAGAAAACTTTACAACTACTAAAAGTAACTACTTTCGGGAGCAGATTTGATATTTATGTTGGTAAATGTTTGTTTGTCTGTTTGACCTCAAGATTTCGCTTCACGAGTCTTTTTAAATCACCTTTAATGAGAGAGTGAAAGTCTCCACCATGGCCGACTGGCTAAGAGCTTCGGTGAGCGCAAACGCAGAGTTTGATACTCGCGCAATCAGATAAAACGCAAAAACTGTTTTTTCTAGACAAACAAACTTCAAACGGATTTCAATCAAAAATTTGAACCCATTACTCACAAAGGATCTAGATATTCGGAATCAACGAAAAATTTGCTACAAAATAGCCTAGGTCGCACTTTGAAGCTCGGTGGTAAACTTGGAAACTTGGTAACTTGGTGGTGCCAGGGGCATTGCTGTGTATTGTTTGTACCACATTATTCGTGTAAATTTATATATTTTTATATTTAGCTAGGGTCTCAGAGATGGAGAACAATCAGACTTCACTTTTTCATCAGATTCAACAACTTTTTTTGTTTTTTTTTCAATAAATTTAAAATTTAAAGGATCTCATTGCTATTTTAGGGGAAATGCGAAAGAATTATGCTAATCTTCACATAAATTTTCAATGAGCAAATTGATTGGGGAAAACGAGGGGATTTATGAGGCAAAAGCTGGAATTCCAGCTGGATTTTCCCTGGTTACTAGTAATGAAATCTATTTTGGGTATTTTGCTAGTTAGGTATTACAAATTGATCGACTTGTTTCCTTGTAATCTTATCGCTCATATAGATTTAAACTCTTGAAACCTCTCTTGAAATGGAGATGAGTTTTCTCAGTAAAAACTTTTCTTATAATGATGTATAAGTTTAGGTGTGTTGAAATTTGAATCAAGAAACTCTTCAAGTCAAATTTTATCTTTGAAATCGAAGCGTTTTTTCAATATTTCTTGCACATATTTGGTGATGAACTGGAACTGGTTCAACAGACTGATATCATGGAATGTAAAGGCTATTATTATAAGTTAAGTGAAAGATAATAATCAACTACATAGCTAGTTTTGAGTGCGACCTAATGGGAGAAAAATGAGCAAACATTGGCCGACCAATACTTTTTTCCACCACTGCAATAGTCCAATCAATGTGTTTAACAGCCGATAAATCAACTAATCATTAATTTCTGGTCACAAGTGTGACAGCCAGCTTTGTCTAGCCTCCCAACTTTCGAAATTTGAATCGGTGTTTGAAAAAGAAACCTGGAGAAAATAAACCAACAAGAAGTAGTTCTGCATCTCGACAGTAGTTCACTTCCTTCAACACAGATCTATTTTCGAGTAGCTTATTTCGCGCTTTCATAATGAGGTGATTTAAGAATAGAAACGTTATTGTCTAGTTTTGTGAAATGAGAATAGTTTTTGACCACAAAACCCCACCTGTCTTTCTAAAAAGCTCCCAACGCAAATCTCTTTGTAGGGCGAAGCGGTGAAGACCACGCTGACCAACGCGAAAATTGAGCGACCCATGATTGCAATGGCTTTCTTGTACAGAAACCCGACTAGCTTCTCGGATTGAAGTGTGGAGTGGTGAACTGAAACTCGGAGATGCTTAGATACGTTTAATTGCATTGTGAGCCTTTGTAAATAGTTGACAGCTGACGGGTTCCAATGATAACGATCAGTAAGCTTATTGCCATCAGCTAAACTCGGATTTTAGGAAGAATAGTTGACTCTTCGCTGGAATTCGAACATTTTGAATGGGGATTTATGGTTGAGATGGAAATCTGCCTCAATAAATATTCTTTATTCGGTTTATTCGCAAAATGCATCAAAACAATTATTCATTAGAAGTTTGCCATATAATCTTGTATTCGGATCTCCTAGGCATCAGGGGTCTCGTTGAGGGTTTGAATCAATTGCTAAACAAATTAAATTAAATTCTCTTTAAAACCCCAATCAACTCACCTTGACTTCACCATCGAATCTGCGCAAATGAGGCAAGTAATTCTCAGCGGACAACTCAAAATTGGACTTAATTTTTCTAAACAACAAATATTTCGTTTCGAAATCTGAAAACTTACGTGAATGACTTGTGTTTCTCCTGTAAATCGGCAAAATTTGGAGCGCCCTTGAGAGTTTCTTCTTTCGAAAGCAATTCCTAAAGAAATATCGACTTCAATCGGTTTTATTTGATAAAAGTGCCGTCTCAAAGATGTCAATGCCCTCAAGAAGGCCCTTGTGTAGTTCAGGAACCAAATCCTTGTACGTCTTGATGACATTTCTTGACTCTTGTTGAAGTTCCATCAACATTTGGTTAGCCTAAACACATGAAATTAATATAGTACGCCTTTCAATTCCAAACTAGCAAAACTGATAACAAGATGCAAAAGATACCTGTTTTTCCAATAAAGGAATGGCCCCATGTGGACGATGTTTTTTGTAAGCACAAGCGCCACAAATCTATAAATAAAAAAGAGCTTAATCAATATTAACAATAGCTTACTTCAAAACCACATTCACCGCAATAAAACATTTCGTCGACAATACCCTAAAATACTTCTATAGAAATCAATTTAAGTAGGCATACCTTTTTGCGGCATTCGTTGCAGCTACATTCATCTTTGACATTTCTCGCAGCATTCATCATTGCCTCCATTTGTCGAGTCATTTCGGGCAGCTCATTTAGAAAGTCTAAAGAAAAATTAGTGAATGTAAAATGAATTCATCTACCATGAAATCGATCTTTCTGTTTGTTGACAGCAGCGTACATATCATATGTTTCTGTACAAGTTGGACATTTGATTTCGTAGAGACTTGAATCCACAGAAGATTTCTGACGTGTCTTCAAATAGCATTCCGTGCAAATGATATGCCCACATCCAAGAGCAAACGATTTCTTTGCCTCAATTTGATTTGAATCTAAACCAAGATTTTTTAAAGCAAGTCATCAAACTTACATTCATCCAGACAAATTTGACACTCCGGAATTTTGAAAGGCTAAAAGAATCACTATAATTTGTAAATCCCAAATCCAACCTTCACAAGCAAATATCCCATTGGAGTAAACACCAAAGCGCTTTTTTGGGACAAAACATCTAAAACAATTCGATTGATTACTCAGCTTTTACTCTAAACAAAAATCAAAATAAAACTCACCAATCAAAAAGTAGGCAAAGTTTTCGCTGTAGAAACAGTCACTATCTCCACATTGATGATTTCTCTTTTCTTGTTCCAACGTCTTCTCTTGCTCGAAACATTCATTGCACATGGCCAATCCACAATACAAATGACGTGGAGATCGACGTTGATTAGCAACTCGAGCAACTAAAAGATTGGCAAATCAAACAAAACCACTTTGTTTACGCTTTAAAATCTAGATTATTTCGAAATCCATAACTGAAAAGCAAAAACTTACACGGTTTCTTGCAGACAATGCAGTTGAGCGATTCAAACACCCTCATTTCCTAAAAAGAAAGCATTAGAATTATTGATCAATCAACAAAAAAATGAACGCAAGAAAGAAATCGAATCGAGAGTTTGTGTGTTGAGGGTGGTAAGAGAGAATATTTTTAACTCTACCTAAACTTTTAACGAACTTTTAAATGCTTTTCCAAAATAATATAAACACGGGTCTTCTTGAAAGCTTTTTGAAAGCGACTGCTCGAAAGTTAACCGCCTTCTTTCTCTTTTCCTATTTGATTGAATATGTTGAGATTAAAGTCTAAACCATAAGATATTCAGAGAGCAGATACCGTAAAGGGTTTAATAGGAGCACGCCCTATAGGAGCGTCGCGTAGTCTAAGTTTACTCTCAAACAAGCGCTCATATCGTTGTTTCTGCGCGCTTAGGTATCAAATTAACAATATAACACATATTTTTAGCATTAACCAGCGCTTAGAACAAAATGATTGAAAAATGATGAAAAATCGGTTTTTTTAGAGATATCAGAGAACTCACAGATAACTTTGTGATTTGTACTCTACTCCTAAGTTCTTTTATCAGTGTGCATAAGAAATATCATGATGCGTATCATAAAAAGTATTTGAAAAATAGGTGCTCTTAGTTAATGTAACGTGATCGTCTCAAATTGGGCTCCATAAATGTTAGAAAGATTGGCTTGGTGGGACTGAAATATCTTGGCTTGTTATGAGTCTTATTTTGTACCAAATTTGCAATTTAGTAATTGTCAAGCTCAGGTTCTTTTACGAATTTTCTATTTCCCTCTACCCAAATGCGGTTGTTTGATCCGAAAAGCGATGAAAAACACACAGTACAATCACCATATTTTTGCCTTAAAAAGCCAAAGGAAAGACGGCGTGGGGCGACTATTTGTCTCTTCGACGATTCAGCAGTCTTGAATTCGATACATTGGTACTTAATTTTGAATTTTATCCATTCTAATAAAGGAAACGATCTCTCATCAACACACTTTATCAGAAATTCTACTCAATTCTCTCATCAATGGCAATACTCTGTACATTTACGTCCATATCTTGAATTGATTTGCCCACTTATCTCCACAATCATTCCACTCAAACTCTAGACAATGTCTCGTGATTGGATCATAGTAGCAGCACTGATCGTGATCCGGTTCAATCTCTGGGCGTCGGTCAGGGTATGAGGTATCCAACTCCCCAATTTCGATGTAAACCCAAGCGCGTGTAGATGCCTGACTACCGTGGATTGATCAACCTTTAGGTGCTCTGCTAATTCGCATGAAGTACCGTATTCTCTGTGACCCCACCGCCGGTGATGTATTTTACGGTTTCAAGTTTCGAGAGCTCAACACTCTAACCCCACAAGATACGAGTACATTTTCGACAAGATAGGTTCTGCTAAGCGGTTTTCGAGATTTCGAACAATTTAGGCAACGCTCAGGGTGCACTACTATTAGAGAGAATACGGTAAGCCGGTTGTTGTTTTGAAGAAGTGCCAGAAGGCTGACTAGGCCGAATTCAATAGTTCGGGGTGGGACCGCCTTCAATCTTATTATTGGGGACGATTTTGTTTCAGAAGCGGAATAGAATAAAAGGTTAAACGGGTTTCCCCAAAACTCTCACAATATAACAACAAGAACAATTCTTTCTATAATATTAAACCTACTATCTAAACAGAATTTGGAACCTTAAGGATAGTTTAAAGATTAAATTTATAATTTTACGGTTTATTAATACAGGGTGCTCAGTATTTACGGCGACTTCTTTTGGTTGATTAGCTCCTAAGCATCAACTTCAACCCTAATGTGTTAAGTGTTATAAAAATATTGAAGCCCTTAATCTTGGCCATATTTATCTATTAAAAGTTTCCCGATTGAAGATCTACAACTCATTTTATAAGCCTTCGGATGAGTACTTGCGCATTTGCTGTTTATGGATAAAACCTTGGTCATCCAAACGGATATTTAAAGGCTGATTTGTGAACATTATTCCATCTAGCATAAAAGTTTCTAAAATTAGAGTCCTTGATCTAAATTTGGACCAGAGCAAAATAGCAGACGGTTTGCGAGTCAAAATGCTTCGAAAGATCAAAATAGACCTACTTTGCCGACTCAAAATAGCTCAAGTGCTGAATAGCCAAGTTTGTTGTTGGCCAAGTTTATTCTAACAAACTAAAATTAAAATTGTGCATCACAATTGAACGTCATTTTGCTTTTGCTCAAAACTGGTCTTGTTGCTCCAGCAACGTCTAAACTACAAACCTGAATCATCAAATCCGCAGGATTTCTGGAATTGATAGTACTTGATAATAGCTGGCTAGCTTTAACAGGGTTGCTTTCTTTAGCTATTCGTTACCTGAGCTCCAGCACGATCAAGCACGCTGAGGTACACGTTGGTCTGAAATATTGAAATAGCAAGTTGGGATAACAGCCTTGTTAAGGGTCATTGGTGCCTGCTTGCCATACTAGTCTGTGATCAATTTGAAGCTAAGATTACAAAGCTCGTTCAACCAAAAACCCACTCCATTGGAAGGAAAGAGTCCGTTGGTGAGCCCTGAGATTCCATTCAATTCAGAGAATTCATTGATGCCATTAAGCCCGTTAAGTCTAAAAAGATCTAATTAGAACAACTGAATAAATACACAAAAATGGAACGTCAATAAACAGGAAAATGTCTTAGAGTGTTTTAGTTTTATTTCCTCTCGGCTTTTTTTAAGACCGGCCTAACGAAAATTCCATTTATTTGCTTGTAATCGATCGATTGACACGATTCGGCTTATCTTTTCATGAAAAGTTTCGGTTTTTTTGGTTATGCTCTTAGTAAAAGCTTTTCCAATTAACAAAATGTTCAGTTTGGAAGGATTACTTTCTCTAAAACTTTGAGAATTCCTGCATAACTTTACTCTGACTCAATAGTGTTATTTTTTAATATCAAGAAAGATTTTTACGTTCACTAATGTGCAAAAAGAAGAGCAAGGTCATTGGTTTTCTTTCTTTTTTTCTGGCAAAACCGTGTGTTTTCTTTCTCTTTCCACGATTCAGCCACGCTATTTTTCAAAAAAAATCAGTATACTTTTCAAATTTTCCAGCTGTTTTCAATGCCACACTATAAGCTTATTTATTTTGCTGTTCGTGGGAAAGGTTTGAAAAATCTTTTTTAATTTTTAGTGGTCATATTCAGGTGAGTTCATTCGTCAGCTCTTCACATTGGCTGGAGTCGAATTCGAGGATTTTCGTCAACCGTTGGGTTCGGATGAATGGCCAGCGATGAAGAAAGGTTTGTTGTTTGAAAAAATAAAGCTAAGAAATTAGATTATTACTTGCAAAATTCGATTCTTTACTATTTAGAGACACCCTACGGGTATTTGCCCGTACTGGAAGTGGACGGGAAACAACTCGGCCAGGCAAATGCGATTGCCAAGTTTATTGCGAATGAGCATGGTGATTTCATAATGATTTCAAAAGGCAACTTTATCAAATTTGACAAAAAAACACGTTTGACAAGATTTTTGTCAGAGTTTCGTTTTGATTTCAGAGCAAAACAAGCCAAAACGCAAAACAAAATCGTTTGTCAATTGATGTTCTTTGCTAATTTTCAGGTTTGAACGGTTCGAATGCTTGGGAGGCGGCTCTAATTGACTCAGTCGGCATCCACTACGATTCACTCTTTGAGGCTTGCCGCCCATTTTATAAGTCTTGGCTCAAAATCAGTGATCAACCAATGGTAGAGATTTCAAATCTCTTTGCTAATAAAGTTTTTTTATTCCAGGAAGAGGCCTTCAAGCTCTCCGTCGAGCCAGGCCGAGACGAGTTCTTCCCGGCGATTTGTAAATTCCTTCGCGGAAACGAATCCGGCTACATTGTTGGTTTTAGTTTAAAAAAACATATTTTCAAATTTACCGTAATAATTCTAATAGAAGACCAGTCTCTAATAGAAGACCAGTCTCCAATAGAAGACCACCCCCTTGACCCCTTGAAATCGGGACTTTTTAAAACTTCTGTTCAAGTAGAATGAAAGATTTGGGTCCAGATAGTAATATTTTAGCCCCGGCAGTAAAATTGGAGACGTAGTTTTTGAAAAAAATTAAAAAATAACTTTTTGGAAAAATTTCATGTGGTCCCCTACATGGATTTTTTTGAAAGATTTTCTATGGAGTCCGGGCAAGAAAATAATTTCACTTTTAGACATGTTTTTGGCATCTTTTGGGGCAAGGGCTATCGTTTGAAATCGTTTTTAACTATTTTTAATTTTTTGATTCATGTGGGGGACCTTTACCTACTTTTTTGACTCACCAATTTTGGGGGGTTGAAAATTAGAAGACCATGGTCTTCTATTAGAAATTATTACGGTATATCCAAAAAACTGTAGATTGGAGAAAAGCCCTCGTGGATCGATTTGTTGGTGGCCGATCACTGTACGACTTTTCTTCGCTACAATCCAAATTATCTCGACAAATACCCTGAGGTTAGTTTACATCAAAATACATCAAACATAAATGACATAAATTGAACTTTATGCCAAAAATTATGTTAGAAATAACGTACTTTAGGCAAAAGCTCATATGGAGAGGATTCACTCGATTCCGGCTATTAAGAAGTGGATCGAGGCACAACCACAGACAGAAATCTAAGGGAAAATACAATTTAATAGATCAATAAACTTTATCTATGAATGTAAAAACGTTACAACTTGAACTTTTTATAGTGGATTCTCTTCTGAATCACTTCGATGAGGAGCGCTCCAATGGAGAGACCGATGAAAATGAGACAGAGACGAAAGAGTGGCCACAAATAGAGCAGACCGAGCGCGTAGAATTCGCCGGACGAGTGAACAGAACGAACATAGGGCGTGAACGGGTTTGCGTATCTGAAGTGTAAATTAGTACTGGCACAGCTGAAGACGTTCTAGCTGCAAAACCTGATCGCTACCTGGCTGCAAAGTTAGCATAAGACCCTTGAATCGTTTCGAGTCCTCGGTTCAATTTCTCCAGAATGTCCTTTGATAAATTTCTGAAAGTTTTACATTCAAAAATAAAGAAAAAAAAACTTGTTGAGTGCAAATGAGAGATGGCTCGGCTGGAGAGAGGAATCTTTGATGAAAAGTAGTCTTTTCTCTCGATTCAAAATGATGACATCGGTGGGAACGAGATGTTCGTGGAGGCCAACAAAGAGGACGGATTTTGAGGTCAGATGCTGAAGTTTAGTTTAGTCTTTTACTTGTTTTTTATAGAACAAGCTTACAAAGGAACCTCACGATTAACGTCGCAATGTATCCGCGCAAAACAAGATGGCGGCACGGGGGATTGAACCCATGCAAAAAGACAGCAGTTGGTCCCGAGGCAAATGCACTAACCACCAGACCATCGAGGTAGTTGGAAGAGGTGAAAAAGGAGCTTATTGCGCGCCGATGGCTGCGAAAAAATGTCACGAAAAGTAAAAGTAAAATATCCTTTTTTTGCTTGAGGCTTTAGGAGCTTCTGATTACAGATTCGGAATCACCGTAAAATTCTGCATCAGAAACACTCTGTTTCTAGCCAATGTCGGGGGTCTGGTGGGGTTCCTTTGTTAGGTGTAAATTTATCGAGCTCACTCACGTTATCCGGATTCCAGCTTCGTGGAACGTGAACGGCTCTTAAAAGGTTTAAAATTTTGAAAATCAATCAAATCTAAAGCACTCACTTCTTCAAAGCGTTCTCTAAACGGTTGCATTGATTGTAAAAATGTTTGCAAAAAGCCATTGGATTCCAACCGATTTCCTCGTGAACAAGAATATGCCATCCTAGAAAGAGATTTTTGAGAAATGTTTATGGAAAGCTTTTGAAATGTCACTGTTTCTGAAGGTTCAGTTTTTTACAAAAAGAAATGGCAGAGCTTGATAAAGAGAAATGATTTTTGTGGTAAATGAGCTTTTTACTCTAATTTTTTAGCGTCTTGCTTCGTTATGAACCAAAAAACAGCCGACGAACCAATCAACTAACTTTTAAGCCACAGCACATAACCTCTTTTACCTTTTTTCTCAACTGCATCCAATAAGCCGTCGAGATTTATGAAGTCGTAGCTAAATTTTGAAAGGAAAAAATGAAAGGCAGCAAGATGTTTTAACACTTTCATTGTTCATTGATATTGGTGATTGTCGATTTAAGATTGAACATTGATGGTTTGTTCATTCACTCACCCTCTCCTTGACGATAGAGTAAAAGCACTTGTCATAGCACTCTCGAAATGAAGTGTGAAGAAAAAGCAAAACCAAAACCATGAAATCATAAAGAATGAATTGGCAAGAGTATGTCTTCTAAAAACAGTAATGTGATGAAAACAGGGAAACAGTTTTTGTTAATGGTTACATTTTTTGATGTGGTGTATCCTGCGAGAGGAGGACTCTCAATGAAAACATCAAGCAATCCCAAAAACTTCGTTTTTTCCTCGAAAATACCCACGTGGCAAAGGAGCTAAAAAGCGAATTGGTTGAATTTTATAGAAAACTACTTTATCAGGAGTCCCATCAGTAATAGAAGAAGCATCTCGGGATGGAGTGAGCTGAGAATGAAATCTTTGATCTGTAGAAGGGATATTAGTTGGAAAAAGCGGTACTAAACTTGAAACTCGTCGATTTCCATTATCATGTAGCCGTAAACGAGGTAATTGATTGGTACAGTGAAGTCGACCTGAAATGCTGAAGATGTAACTATACAGGGCGCCCTAAAATTCCCTAGCCAACCTCCGTTTGCCGCACTTTGCTGTTATGCACTTTTGAGTTGACTATCTTTGCTACTTTGTAAGCAAAAATGCTTGCAAATCCGAAATCAAAGGGTAAACTTAGTTATGTAAAGCATGTTGTTTGATATTTTTTTGTTGGTATCATTTCTCGATTTCACCTTTTCGAGCCGCTCGACATTTTGAATGATTGCGTGAACGGTGAGATCGGCGCTTCCATTAGCAATCATTTCAACGGCTTTTGGGGCTGGGTAATCGATTGGAATCACCTGATTTAGATTTTTTTTGTAAAAGTTCCTGTTAGGGTTACTGTAGAAAAGTTCACAACCTCAGCTTCAAGTCCCGTCAATTTCAGCGCTGCAATCAAATAGTCGACATCGATTCCCGGGTTTCTGCATTTCAAATTCCAGCAGCTGAATAAAAATTGTCAGAAGCAATTTTTGTCACATACTTTTGGCGAAAAGCAACAATTTCGCTGTCTTTTTGGTAGCCAATTGCTCGCAAAATCATTTCATCAAAGAAATTTTGACTATAAAATGCTTTCAAATTGAGAGCAAAGAGAAAATTTCGGATCTGAAGTGGTTACGCAGAAATGGCAAATGGGATATTTGAAGCTATTTTGGAGGGAAAAGGGCTTTTTGTGGGTTATTTTTGTTTGCAATAAATGACTCTCTGCAAATGTTTCTGCTGAACTCTTTTCCCGTCTCGTTTCTTTCACTTTTTTTTCCACTGCAAGTACAAAGAGTTGTAATGACAGAGCAAAGAGCTGAATCCTGTTAAATCTTTCCAGCTAGCTAAGAAATTCACAAAAAATAAAACTCGGAGCACCCACAAAAGAGGAATAAGCGCCGAAAGATTTAAGGGTCTGGGAGCTAAAATGTGGGAAAATTACCGTAATTTGACTATTTGACCAAATTTGACCATGCGACCATTTGACTTTGATGTTTATGTCTAGCTGGAGTGGAGTTTGATGCATTTTTTTTGATTTGCCCTGCTTCACACCGTGTTTTTTTTAAAGGGACCGGAAACCACGAGGCACAGAAAAATATTACCCGACTGAGCTTGGTCGTTCTGTCCAGCACAAAAACTTCGAGTTATTTTTTTTGTACTCAAAATTTTTCAAAAAAGCGAAATTTTTTTGTTTCGCTCTGAACTCTGATGAGATGTGAAATCAAAGTGAAAACTCTGTGATAACTTTATTTGTTTTGTTTTTGCTTATCTACTTTTAATATGTAGATGTAGTTTTTTATGGTTAATGAATAGTTTTAGATAAAGGTCTTATAGATGACATTTTCCATTTCCAATCTTTCTTTTGACAAATTTTTACTTCAAAAAGGCCCGGATTGAACCAGTAGCTTCATTTGGAGCCTTTTTGTTTTCTTTCGGTTTTTTTTCCACATTTCGACTCGGCATACAATGAAGTTCTTTTCCTGGTATCATTCCCTTAAAGTAAAGTGGAAAGTTCCTTAAATCTTTCCAAAGCCGGTTCAAGTTCCGGGTCAGAAATTAGGTGTTCAATTGTCAACACCGTTTCCTCGTTTTTTTGAAAACAGATTTGAAAGCACAGACCAGAAATGAGAAAAGTAATATGCCAAAAAAACCCTAAGCGGTTTCCTGGGGAATGTGAAATTGAATAGAAAAAATAAATGCCTTTATTTACAACACGTTTCAAATTGTTCCCTTTTTGGTTTACAAGTTGATCTCTCCGAGAAGACAGATTGGAGAGCAGCGGCCAACGAGCTGAAATGATACCGTTAACCATAAGGTTTACTGTAGAAAAGGTAGGCTTTAGAATGACAAAACTGGGTAAAACATGCTTGCCAAGTCATTGATTACTATCAGATTCACAAGCTTTCGATTAACCAACCCCTCCAAGAGCTGGGAGCTTTCCGAGAGTGCCGCTAGTTCCACCCAAAATGCTGCTGAGGAGGCCACCACCGTTCACATTTCCGCAGCATCTCTGGAATTGATAGTACTTGAAAATAGCTGGCTAGCTTTAACAGATGGTGGTTGCTTTCCTTATCTATTCGTTACCTGAGCTCCAGCACAATCAAGAACACTGAGGCAAACGTTGATCTGAAATTTGATCGTAGGAAAGTTGAAATAACAAAGGATTGTTCTTAGAGGGTTCTACAAGTTTTACTTGCTATCCCAATCAATTCTCTATTCAAATTTAAGATTGCAAAACTGGTTTAGTCATTAAACTCACTCCATTTGATGGGAAAAGTCCGTTGGTGAGCCCTGAGATTCCATTCAATCCGGAGATTCCGTTGATTCCATTGCCGTTAAGTCCGGTAAGTCCATTGATGCCGTTGAGACCCGTAAGTCCGTTAAGTCCATTTAAACCAGAGATTCCATTGAGTCCACTCAATCCATTGATTCCGTTGATTCCATTAAGCCCATTGAGTCCACTCAATCCATTGATTCCGTTGATTCCATTAAGTCCATTGAGTCCGTTCAGTCCACCAAGGCCATTGAGTCCGGAGATTCCATTGACTCCAGGGAATCCCGAAAGTCCGGGGACACCATTGAGTCCATTGATACCGTTGAGACCAGTCAAGCCACTGATTCCATTGATTCCATTCATTCCACTGATTCCATTGATTCCATTGATTCCATTGATACCCGAGAGTCCGGACATTCCATTCAACCCAGTCAATCCAGAGACTCCATTGATTCCCGAGATTCCAGAGATCCCGTTCAGTCCACCCTGGCTCATTAGACCTGTTCTCATGCTGGCTGGGAGCTGAATGGTATAAATTTGATACTGGTATCTTGATGGATACTGTTCCTGATAAATTAATGTCATAATTGTCAAGTCTTACCGATCCTAACATCCCTGGAACCTGGCGTTTCTTGCGGCCATCGGCGAGGGAGAGCTGAAAGGAAAGGGAAAAGATTTAGAAACAATCAGATCTTGCAACAAACCATTTATCAGCTTCAATTAGAACGATTAAGCTTAAACTCACCGCAAAGATCAAGGCAGTAATCAAGGCAAGTTTGAACATTTTACAAATCGAATTCAAGACAAAAGCTGATTGCTGACTATTCCTCGAAAACCGGCCTTTTATACTCAGAAGAATATCATCTTTAATGCTTTTCCAAAAAAGTTTTGTCTACTTACACTAATGTTATTCAATTTTTTTAATCCAAATCGAGTTACTAAAAACATTCGAAGTTTTTGAAGATCTATAGAACAACTGAATAAATACACAAAATCGACAATAAACAGAAAACAAACAAGGTCATCATAATACAGATGTTTTCGGATTTGAAAACAACACTGTCTAGGAAAAAGGCGGCTGTAAGACAGTTTTTGGTTAAATTACGTAATTTATTGCTAGAAAGAAGTTGTTTTGATTGGTTCTCAAAGCGTCAGCTTATCAAATCAAATGCTTTATTTTTTTTCAAACTCGTCAATTATTTTCCTCGACAATATTTTCGACTCCCGCCCGCAACACACGATTCACCCGGTGGACAGTCCGAATTGCTGCCACAAATCTTCTGAAATCAGGGTAAATTGAACTGAAAGTGTCCATTTGAACTTATTTCTTTACTTGAGAAGAAACTTTAAACTCACCCCTTGCCTCTTGACCCGTTTGAATTCAGGCGATGCCTAAAACTTCTCTATGAATGCTTAAATTAAAGATGATGTTAGCTAATAATTTGACGAAGAATTGTAAGAAAACTCGGTAAAACCGAAGACTCTTTATTCCTTTTTTTAGAACTTTTTATAGAACTGAATACTTTTTATAATTTTACACTTGTAACTTTTCTAGCCCGCTCACCTCAACAATCACAATTCCCAAAATGGACATCGCCAAGAGAAAGAATAGAAAAAAGTTCATTTTTGCAAGAATTGCTCCTTTCCGATTGTCCTTTTTGCGCCTTTTCTAGAAAAAATTCAAGCATAAATCTAAATTTTTGAAAAGAAAGCCGACAACTGTTCAATTTCAATGTCTTTGATCTCTGATTGCTCATGCAAGATTCATCAAATCTTGAACATCAAAGGGCAATGTTTTAGAATGTTTGATTTTGCTTTTTGTTTTCTTGACTTGTCTTTTATTAAAGCACAAACTTGAACAATAAATGTAAATTGCTTCGATACACATCGTTTTTCTCGATTCTATTATTTTACTTGCTTGGTTTATTCACTTTTCTCTCGCTATACAGCCTTTTGATGGAATTTTGGAGATTTCGAGGTACATAGAAATTAAGAGACCGGGATATGAATGGGATCTCTGAAACTCGTGGGCCCAGTCTCATAGAGGAGAGTAAAGCATAAGGATTTACACTGACGGCAATGGGACACGTGTTGGTGTAGCTCATTGGTAGAACCTTCGCCCGGTAAGCGAGAGATCGCAGCTTCAAATCCCAGCGCCAAGCATGTTTTGTCATCCCAGCCTCAACCCCATAAAATGTGCGTTATGTGCATCCAAGGATGAAAAGATGACGAGTTCGTAAGGTTACTCACACAAAACACAGAATGAGTTTAAATTTGACCAAAACACAAAATGATGTGAGTCTTTATTTTTGAACACATTAATTCTCGCCAAGTTGTGCGATGTCTGAGTATAAAAGTGATGGTAAAGATAGAATTTTGTGAAAGATGAAAATTCTCTTTGTTTTACTTGTTCTCACATTTTCCGTGGGAGTCACGATGGCTCAGGTTGGCTATTTGAAATTTAAAGTCTAATTTGCAAGCCTAAGCAAAGCAAGCCTAAGCAAAGCAAAAATCTTTGCAAGAATTTTCTAAACAAGGTAATCGTTTTTTGCTTGGTGAATTAAGTTTCCCAGCTGGAATATGGAGAAATTCGAAAGCCAATAACCTTTTACTTGCCTAGTTCTTTCTCGGCTTTGTCCAACCGTTAATATTGGGTTCAACGAAAAGTTCGTGCAGTTTTTTGGGAGATGGTCTCAAACTCAATCAATTTGGACGTATAATAGCTCGTTCGAAAGCTAATTATAAAGCGAACTCAATGAAAAAAAGCCGCTTATTGATTCATTGCGTTTTAAAGTTTTTACAGAGGCTTTAGTAGAGATGTGCAGGCCTCAAAAAGGTGCAAAAATAGCGTTTGTCCGTTTTTTTGCTTAAAAATTTTTGAAAATTATATTTTCAGGAGCTAAAAAAGTGTAGTCGACGCTCAGACTGTCGATCGGGCGAGGAATGTACAGGATTGACGAGTGATGGGAAGCCATGTCCTGACGACACTTGGTGTAGCATGTACTGTTACAAGAAAGAGTAGAATGTGTCTAATAAAGGACTCTGCATGAACGCAAATATAAATTTTTCAACACCTTGAAACAAAAGTGTGCAGAACAGATTAGAACTTTTAGAGTTTGTGAACAGATCCGCCAGTCAAAGCAGTCAAAGCATAGACTCACTTTCGAGCTCTTTACATCACTTTATGTTCACTAAACACATCCTTTTTACTATTAGACATCTAATTTCTTTCTGAAAGGGGAAAAAAGTCGTGAAATTCGTGAATCGACCCCGAATAAAACCTTTAAAGATCAAAAAGCTGATCGAAATGATGAAAAAATGAAAGAGAAACCGGAAAATGAGAAGGTTTTGAAGGTATAAAAATCGTTGGGAAGTTGATGGTTGAGCTTCAGGTTGCTTGCTATTTGCTTTCCTATTCAGACATTGACGACGACTTGTACCACCCGTGGTACACGCCTTCGAAGGGTCCCCTTTTCTTTCTTTTACCATGAATCAGAACAGTCCTCCGCATTCGAGTCAAACGCTCTACCAACTGTGCAATCCTCGTATCTTCTCCTAATCTTACCATGGAGGAGACATTTTTAAAATCTGACAATGGAATCGTGTTCCCCACCCCCGAAAACCCCGGATACAAATGTTTAGCCCTCTGGGCCATACCTCAGCTGTACAGTACGGGGTACTTCTAATTCTGGATGCCGAACAGAGGTTTTTCAAATCTGCCGTTGGATTCGTGTTCCCCACCCTCAAGAACCCCAGACTACATGTTTTCCAAGAATTTGGCCTAACCGTGTTCTTTCGTCCCAGATCTCAACCTAGCAGAAAAACGCCTCGTCGTCAATGTGTTAAGGAATACATTAATATAATGCGCAGAATGCGTGGAAATAAAAATGATGAGCCAAAAAGTGACGAATACGAGTTTGCTCGTGCTCGTGCGCACAAAATAACAAAAAGATATTGAACTAAATGGTTGAATATCGTGCATTCTCTCTTCTTCCCGTCGCTAATCGGACAAGAAATCATTCACGCCAATAATCGCTATTCCCGTCGCTAATCGATCGACTGCGCCGTTATCCCTAAAGATCCAAAATTTCTAATGGCCAGTTTAGAGTCAACTTTCTAAACTACTAATCCAAAACCTAGCTGTTGGGAAAATTTCTGTTGAAATCTACGAGAAATGGGACAAAAATTGTTTCACCAAGGCGAAAGTGCTCAAAAAGGGAAAGTTTGGGGAAAAAGGGGAAATTTTTGGGGGGGTTTTCAAAAAAACAGAAAATTGTTAGGTGGTATAAAAAGGCTCAAAACTTTTGCTTGATTTGTTTTGACTGTTTTGATTTTACACTTCTATATTAGATACATAGAAGTGCATTAATTCAGACTGTGACACAAGGAAGAATACATATTTTTATCACAACCTCGCAAAGTAGTTACAGGGATAGTAGCTTCATGTATCCACAATCATGCAAACAACAAGCGGAGTTTCAAATCCCAGCCATAAAGTTTGGATCTAGAGATTGAGATAGACAAACTGTATCTGCGACAAACCCTTTCTTTTTCTTCTTTACTTGGATTTGGATCGGGTGATGTGTATGCCCGAGAACCATCAAACCTAAAGTGGGATTTAAAGCTTGAATAAAACTTCAGAGTAACATCAACTTGCTCAAATCTCAACCAACCAGACTGAGTTGATCACTGGGTTCTTGAGTAGTTCAAGTGAAAGCGTGTAGATCATTCTCAACGGATCAACAAATGCAACTTTTCGCCAATCAGACATACGATGCTAAACTGATATTCTTGTAAATGCTCATAATCAATTTGTTCAATCTAACTTGTTAGAAACGTACAAATTCCAAACTTAAGCCTTTTATAGTGTTTCCTCGCCGTTGTATTGCTTCTTGGACATCTGTAAATGAATGATCAATGGTAGACTGTGATTCTTACTTTGTCTATTGACATTTCTTTGCTCCAGCTCCGGTGGAAGAACTCGTTCCAGGTAATCGATCACAAATTCACAGCGTTTTCCCCATTCGGAAATCCTAGGATGTTTTCAATTTGGTGCTTGGACAGATAAATGTAACATAGAACACTTTGATCTTTTGCCCAGGGCAAATTGAAGTTTTCTACAGAGTGACCCATAATTATAGGTGCAGTGACTTATTATTAACTATCTCGATCTCCTCAAATTTTGAAATTTTGCACTCGGCCCAGAAGCATTTCAAAAATCAGATTTGGACATTCCAACAAGACGGGCCTCCGGCTCACAAAGCCAAAAAAGTCGAAGATTTTTGAAAAGTGAAGTTTCCCGATTTCATCTCTTTTTCTGAATGGCCGGATCTCAATCCGATGGATTATTCTGTCTGGTCCGCCCTTGAGGCAAAAGCTTACTCAAAACCGCATAAAAATGTTGAAAGTATGAAGGAAAGTCTTCTAAAAGCCTGAGATGAACTCGAGTATGCTTACTTCGGCACCGTGAATGCCTTTCCTAAACGCTTGACAGCGTGCTCAGCTAAAAATGGCGATCGCTCTAAATTTAATTGTTACTTTGTTGTTCATTGGTGTCAAATAAAGAATTTAAAACAAAAGTTTAACCTCTAAAGTTTAATTCTATTCTTGTTTAATCCTCTACAAAGCTTTCTATCTGCACCTATAATTATGGGCCACTCTGTATGCAGCAAAATGGTCAGCTGTTAGCAGCAGTTACCATTTTTCGATAGTGAACTCTTCCTTTGTAAAAGTGCATCCAAAAAGTCCAGCTGCTCTTGTGAGCTGGTGCTCGAAGTAAAAGTCGTCTCTGACATATCGATTCGTGAAAGTATCCAGTAAACGCTGGTGTTGAGGACCGTAGGACTAAAGATTTGACATGGAAGATATGACTAAAATAACTGTATTGTAGTTCTTCAGAAGTACAATACAATCATAAAAATCACACCTCAGCTCCATGTGGAGACAAAACAAACTCAATCAACTTTTGGGATGCTCCAGGCAGCTGTGGATGTACCAATACAATGGGAGAAAGGATTGATCTGAATTCTTTTGACTTGCACATTGATTGTCCCCTACTTCAATTGCCCGACATTAGAGCGTACATTGTCTGTCCCCCTCATCATACAGAGCCATCAGCTAAATTGAAGTCTAATCTCGAAACTTTCTCATCAATTAAACCTTGAATTTCATCTCGTCACTAGGATTTGGTAGAGTCGATAGAAAAATCTGTTTCTCTGTTTGATCCAACCTAAAACTTTGAGTTTAACAAAACATTTCCTTCCTTACCAAGCGCCATTCATTTTCTTCTCCGTTAACAAATATTGTGGCAAAGCGAAGACCAATCTGAGGGGTTCATTGAATTCTATCAGAAAACATCCAAGACGATGCCGCTAAAGTTGATGTTCAAACGTTTAGCAATAAAAGTACGATGTGCATGTCCATTGTATTTAGAAGACTCGTGTCAGGTAGTGCTTGCCCAATTCGGACGATAGCTGAAATTTTGAATTCATAAAGTTTTGTAAGTTAGCCTACTTTCTAGGTTATAACCATTGGCTGCTAAATTTGCGGGAAGAAGTTGTTCCAGATAAAGAGAGGCAAACTCGCAACGTTTCCCCCAGTCATCGAGCCTTCAAGGGTTGAATCGAATACTTGAAAGTATAAGGAAGATGATGGTGTTGATGAAATTTGATCTACACTCGTCCTGACCTAGTCTGACTTTATTCTAGGTCAGCTGTACAAGTATCTGGGCCTACCAGGAGCCAGGCCTGGCTTCTGGCCAGGTTCTGGTCTTACCTGACATACAGACCCAGGTCTGGGCTGAAACATCCATACATCTAATATATACAGGCTGGCTGAAAATTACGTGCCGCCAAAGAAAACGCCATAATTTAATTTTCTTTCAAGGAACATGTAAAAATATGTATATAACGCCGTTCGTCTGTCTGTCTGTCTGTCTGTCCGAGGTTTTTATTCGGGGAATTGAGCTAGGGGGCTGAAAACTCGCATTTTAGGGTAAAAACATTCGCTGATTCCGAATCTGAAGTCTGTTTGTAAAAACGTCATTTCCCGCCAAGTTATTCGCCTTTAAAATTTACTACGACCACCCAATTTGCATTTCACACCAAATTTGCATCTAAGAGGGGGAATTTAATGCAAATTTTAGCAAAGCAGCCGCGTAGCGGATGCCCAGCGCAGCTAATCTCACCTTAATGCCACCCAACACATCAGCTAACAGGCTGGAACATCTCTAAATAGAACCTAAGCAACCTAAGTCACAGCTCATCATAGAATTATATAATTATATAACGCTCTTTAAAAAGTAACTTACCATTTTTCGACAGTAAACTCTGCAACAGGGTACGATCGAGCTAACCCAACCGCATGAGCTTGTAACTGAAGTTCGTATCGAAGTGGCAAGAAATATTTGGTCTTGAATATTTCCAACAATCTCATGAATTGTGGGCCATATTTCTGAAAGTGAAAAGCTTTGTAAAATAAAAGTGAGAAAAATTGTTACTTACAGTGTTGAGTTGACTAAAAATAGAATTGATTTTGTCGTTTAAAAAAGCAAGTACCTCAGAGTCTGGTGAGATTGCCAGAAAACTGATCAACGCGGATGTTATTCCGGGAGGAAACAAAGGTAAATGCGCAGTGGGTTGTTCGTTTGGTTCATTGGGAGCCAAAGCTTCAGGATTTCCCGTTGTCGTTGTTTTGCTCTTTGAGCCATTCGAGCGTTTTTTGCGATTTTTCTTTGGCATTTATCTAAATGTAAGCTAAAAAGAAGGGCATTAAAATGAACAAAATAACAAAACAAAACAGAACAGAACAGAACAAAAATATTTTTGTTTGGAAAACCTTTTGATTTCTTAAATCTAAAATTTAACGGAAAATTTTTAAGATAAGGAAAGAAAAGTGACAGCTGTGAGCATTTTTTTGCTATAAAGTGATAAGTCATGCCACCAAAATCACGTGTACCTCAAAGAGTCATGAATTAATAGTTTGCATAGCTAGCTTTATTTTTTCAACTCTACATTACTATACCTGCATCACTTGGTTCCTAGTTTAGGTCAATGGTCGACTTGATGGACTTGCTCGGGAGATTGCGGTTTTTCTGGGAAAAAGATGCAAACAAGGGCTTGCAATTCATGGACCTACGGATGCCCTTGCATGAAAGATAAAGCTTAAACTTTACTAATATTAGGTACGGAAAAAATTAATGTCGTATTTTTTCACTAAAGTTCAAATGTTCATAAAATTTTTATTTCAAAAGCAATTTAATCAAAGTAAAAACCAGTAGAATCTATACATGAATGTCAACTTTTAGCTAACTTTTCAATTCCTAAAGTGTAGAACGCGGGCTCCATTGAATCGATAAACTCCTTGTTGCCATTTTCGACCTCCCCTTGAGTAGCAAAGCATTTCTCCGATAAGAAGTGATCAAGGAACTTGAAAAAGTGAAAATCTGTAGGCGACAAATCAGGAGAATATGGAGCATAAGGGAGGACTTCAATGTGCAGCTCGTTCAATTTTTGAAGAGTCTTCAGTAAAGAATGCGGATGGGCATTGTCTTGCAATAGGATGGGATCCTTCCGATTCACTAGAGCTGGATCGATCCTGCGAATTTTTTCATACATTTCGTTTATTTCGTGAATATACTGATCAGAATTCATCGTTTCTCCTTTTAATAGAATTGAATAATGGATCAGACCTTTCTGCGACCACCAAACACTGAGAAGAAGCTTCTTTGGGTATAGGTCGGGCTTCGGAAAGGGGTTTGGTGGTTATCCTTTATCTAGCCATTCGGATTTGCGTTTTCGGTTATCGTAGAGGACCCATTTTTCATCACAATTTACAATTCGATCCAGAAATGACTCCTTTTGATGACGAATCAACAATGAGTATGATGTGAGGTAAGAGTGCAATTTTTGATATTCGTTCAACTGAGGAGGCAACCACTTTTTCAACTTTTTTACTTTTCCGATTTCCTTGAGATTGTTCCCAATTATGTGTGGAGTGACCCCAAAGTGCGTTGCTAATTCTGCCTCCGTTGTTCTGGGATTCGCTTCTACCAGCTCCTTTAATTCGTCATTGTCGAGACTAACATGGCGTCTGCGGCCTTCCTTGTCATTAAGATCCTCGTCGCCTTCCCGGAATCGTTTGAACCAGAGCTTAACTGTTCGAACTTCAGCTTTGTTTTCCCTAAAAGCTTGATTGATGTTTTGGGTCGCTTCTGACGCATTGTGGCCAAGCTTGAACTCATACAAAAAGAGAAGGCGAAAGTCTCGATTTTCCATCGATGTAAAACAACCGGAAAAAAAACCATTAAGAAAGGTCTAAGCAAAAGTGTTAAACAGAAAAGAAAATTGAGAAAAAATACTCAAATACATAAAAAGACCCAAGGTCAATAAGCATCTGCAGCCGCGTAGGCAACGCCGGAAAGTGAGACTCACAAATACGACATTAATTTTTTCCGTACCTAATATAAAATTCTGAGTTCACATTTAGAAAATAGAGAAAATATTCAAGTGCCCCGTTGCTTTGCGATGCTCCGAAGGCCGATTGCGCAACGGGGTACACAAAAGTTGTGTTTGTGTTGATCTCGGAGTGCGTTGATCTCGGATAATGCAATTCTAAAGCGTGGATGCGGCAAAGAAATGCAAATTTTCTTTTCTAATTACATTTAACGCAAAGATTGCTTCTAAACACACTAAAAAAAAAGTTTTTACCTTGTAAACTTTACTTTCAAACTTTTACTTTTGTTTTTCAATTTCATTTTTTGTTTTAATGATTTAGTTGTCAACTGCCTAGAGCAAGTAGTTACGATGAGCAACGGCTTTAATAGTTCGATAAAAAACAACTATTGGGTTGGGGAGAATGAGTCGGCGCCCAACTTTAAAGGGACTTTTTGCACACATAAAGCCTTCTTTAAACATACGTTTGGTTTCATCAAAAGGATCCACTATTTCTCTACAAAATCACTTTTGAGAGATTCCACAAAGCTTTTCTTTCGTGGAGTTTATGAACTTCCAAACGCAGCTGGTTAAAATGGCAAAGAGTCCGACTCATCATTTGAACAGTTTCTTTCACATAAACCTTCTTTGGTGTTTATATAAAAAAGATAGAGCACATTCAATTACTTAAGTTGCCAAATTTGCAGGAAGATCCCACCAATGGTTTTTTCTAGATCACAGTTTGTAGTTTTTGTGAAAAAATGGCTTTTTCTTGAGCGGAGGCGCTGTTTGAATTTTCTTTTAAATGTCCTTTTGTAGAGAATTAGTTAACCATTCTACTGATATCAAACGCATATTATTTGACGAAGTCGAATAGAAGTTTTAGATATTTTTTTTTTTGATTTTCGGCGCCGACTCATTCTCCCCAACCCAATAGTTTTCAACCATTTTTACTTTTTAGAAGTTACATACAAAAAAAAACTGTCCTGTTGTTGCGCCGCTTTCTTCTTCTCCTTCTTTTCTTTTGTGGTTGTTATCTAAAATAAAAACATTGTTTAACCAATCGAACATAAAAAGAAAAAGATTATGGCAAACAAACAATGACTTACTATTAATCACATATCGCTTTGAAAAATGAAAATGAAAATGAAAGTGGTTGCAAAATAATCATGCTCGCCTTTACATACGCAATATAGTCTAGTTCTGGTTCAGTAGAGTATTCTGGAATAATCAGGAGCAATAAAAGTCGTTCAATAGAAGAGTTTGGTTATTGGGTTAACTTTAATTTCAAAACGACTGTACCCTGCTCATTTCCTTTATTCGTTTTTCAATCAACTTCCAATCAAAAATTTCCCGAATCAACGCAAGCAAGAACATCAAATAAAAAGAAATCAAATTTTACTGGCAAAATAGCTTCGCTTCGCTTTTCTGTGGCCTTTTCTATTTTCACAATTCTCCCCATCGATTTCCTTACTCTTAAAAATTTTGGCATCAAAGCTGACGCAATGCTGAATAAAAATGGAAGAATTGAACCTCAAAAGCTCACAAACATTCAACTTCTGCAAAACATTTCAAAAATTTTTGATTAAATCTATTCAAAGTAGAGTTCACGGGTTTTACCGTTCAATAAAATGACCAAAAATCAAAGCATTGAATTTATGGGAACAACAAGAGCGATGAGAACAAAAAGTGGAAAAAATAGATCGGGTACACAAGGCTAAATTTAAGGCAAGCTGGAGTTTGGATTTTGAATCAGATTATGTATTTCTTGTTGGTCTGTACGGTACTGCTTCCAGGTAAGATCCAGATTACAACCAATTTTCAGTGCCTAAGTCAAAAGTCCAAAAAATTTGACTTAAGTTAAACCAGAACCGTCTTTTTGCTCTTATTGAGATCCGATCCAACTCATTCTTAAATGTTTCTTGAAAACCGGCTTCAGGAATCACTCAATCGCTAACCAGCGAGCCATTTGTTGGGACAATACCTGTGTACATTGTAAAGGTATGATCTTTGTGGGTTTTTCTTAGCGTTATTCCAACTGGACCAAGAACCAGGGCTTGTAAGCTGACCGGTTAGAAGCCAGGTTCAATCCTGACATGCTGTAGACGCTCCAGTCGCCATTAATGCGATAACAAGATTTTTATCTTGAACACTGAATGAACCGTAAGTGCTTTCTTCATTGTCTTGTGGCCCATTTACTGACGGAGTACTAAGAATATAATAAAAGGGTTGAAGGGGGTCTGTAAAAGGTGGTCTGGTGCAAAGACCAAGCCAATTCCAACTAAGGCCAGTAGTCAAGTTTATAACTTCTGATCGGTCTCTGCCTTGGCCTGACCTGGAAAAATTGCATTTAGATTTGTTGACAATATTTCAGACAATAATCTGCGTTCAAGAATCGCTCTTGGTCGTGAGCGTTGGTTCAATGGAACATGCCTGAATGCAACTTGTCCCACGGATGAGAACGTCTTCATGTATTGGCCACCATCAAAGAGAACTTATCAACTGGTAGGATTTATAATTCGAATTGAAAAATGCAGATTTTTCCAGAAATGGGATGCCGGTTTGGCGTTGAATGCCTCAAAGCGTCTTACCTCACTCTTCACCTACACTCCAGTCTACAGTCCTTATCCTGTTCCAAGTGACGTTCGGGAGATTCGTCACCGAAACGTACAATTCAAATAATCGTACCGCTCAGGAAATGTGTAAGTTTAAAATTGGGTACCGCAAAATTATGGAACAAACTTTGCAATCAGCTGTTTCGTTTTTCAACTTTGCAATCAGCTCAATCTTTTTTCATTTGCTTTTAACTATTGGGTTGGTAAATTGAAAACTACCGGGCTTTGAACTAAAATTTATTCAACATAAAGCCATCAATTGATTCGAAATAATTTCCATTATTATTGACGACTTCTGCCCATTTTACAGGCAATTTGCGGATTCCTCTTTCGTAGTAGGATTTTGGTTTGTGTGTGAGACAAGTGTGAGACTCAAAAATCGAGGACTGGAGATGTCGCAGTTTGAGCACTTTCTTCAAAAGAAACCCATTTTTGTGTCAATAGAAAAGTTGTAGAGAATCAAAAATTAAGCTTATATCCAAATTTTCAAAAAGATACACTTAGTAGTTTCGCTTAAAATGCAAGTTTTGTGAAAGTTCGTAAATTTGGCATTTCTTGAAAACTAGCTTTTTAATCGCTCTGAAAATTTGGATATAAGCTTCATTTTTGATTCTCTACAACTTTTCCATTGACACCAAAATGGGTTTCTTTTGATGAAAGTGCTCAAACTGTGATATATGACAATAGCCGGCAGTTTTCAATTCACCAATCCAATATTATCCAATATTACGCTCTGTTATTCGATATGAAAAGCAAAAAAGACTTGCGCCCGACCATAATTCGATTAAGGATGAAAAACGAGTGATGAAGATTGCCGATCTTTTGAAAGAGTCTCACTCGATCGTTTCAAAAGCCATCAAACGTTACAAAGAGACGGGAAACAACGATGATCTGGTTGGGAGAGGACATCGGGTTGGGAGAGGACATGCAAAGCATTGAAAAGTTCAATGTTTTACAATTTTTCAACAAAAAGTGTAAAAATATAAAGAAACAAAATGAAATGAACTAGAAGTATACAGGAGATAAATTGGAAGATTATGCAAATTTCGAGCAAAAATAAATATAAATTTGGGGGGAGTGGGGATTCTATTAAAGGGGGGGGGGGGGGGGCTTCAATTAAAGTATTTACGGTATTTATTTATATTTAAAATGGCATATAAAAGTTTTTTTGCCCATAATGTTTTTTATATGCCGATAAGCATGTTCACTTATCTTGTCAACTCAACTGTCAACCTGGCAATGTCCAAGCGGGTGACCTAAGTTGAAATATCGATACTGGGTTGGTGTGACGCCAGTGTATCCATAACCACCGTATCTATTATACCCATTGTATCCACTGTAGCCACCTGAACAAAAAATCGGATCAATTGGATATTCTGATCAAAAAAACCATGTTTACCATATCGTCGATGTCCGAAGAGTCCTCCGAAACCAACGTTTGACGAAATCGATAGACCCCATCGACCTAGGACATTGAACTGATTTGATTGTTGGTAACTTTTTCGTAAATCTATGTGTAATTGTAAAATAACAAACAGATAGACTGTGAGATTTCTTGCTCTGTTAGATTGTTATAAGTTGTTACAAATTGTTAGATTAGACTTCTTTACTCACTGAATCACGACAGTGACAAGATTTTGAATTGAGTTTTAAAATGAGAGAACTCACCAAACAAAGGAACGAACACGGTCTCATCACCATTAGCTGAAAACAATCGACATTTGGAGTCTCATTTCCATTTATTGGAAACTTTAGCAAAGCTTTTTCTACAGCAAAGTTGAGCAAAACTAATTTTACACTCATAAAACTTACAACTTGGAATGTGATAAGCGATTCGTTTCACTCTTTTTTTATCATTTTCAACTTTTTGAGTTGAATCCAATGATTGGCGTTCATTTGTTGATTTTGTTTCCACTAAAATCCACTACTTTAACTGAAATTCAACAAAAAAACTTACGAGAAATACAAAATACTGCAAAAAGATAAACAAGTGCCAGGGTTTTCATTGGCTAACGTTTTAGATGTTGTCGGAAAGGAATTTTCAAATTTTATACCCTCCTCAAATCAACATCGGAGTTCACGTTTCCATCAAACGAACGAAGTTAGTCAAATGGAATGAAGCCAAAGCTCTGGATCACAAAAATAGTTCAACAGTTCAAGTGGTTCAACAGACTGATATCATGGAATGTAAAGGTTATTATTTAAAGTTAAGTGAAAGATAATACTCAAATACATTGCCAGTTTTGAGTGCGATCTAATGAAAGAAAAATGAGCAAACATTGGCAGGCCACTACTTTTTTCCACCACTGTAACAGTCCAATCAATGTGGTTAACACCTGATAAATCAACAGTTATTGAATCTCACTAATCATTGATTTCTAGTCAAAAATGTGACAGTCAGCTTTGTCTAGCCTCCCAACTTTCGAAATTTGAATCGGTGTTTGAAAAAGAAACCTGGAGAAAATAAATCAACGAGAAGTAGTTCTGCCTCTCGATCACTTTCTTCGACACAGATTTATTTTCGACAAGCTTTTTTCGCGCTTTTATCCTGAGGTGATTTAAGAATAGAAACGTTATAATAGCCACCGAGAAAAATCGGGCCGCGAAAGCGATACCAACGTAGATTATGGGTCTATTTCGGAACACGAGAAGACGTGGCTCTTGCGAGAAATCTTTTGAGATCGATTTGTCGAAGTAATTCTAAAACAAATATCTTCTACAGCTTGTGGCTTGGCATCTTAATAGTTTTTGACCACAAAACCATACCTGACATTCTAAAACGCTCCTAACCCAATTCGGAGATGCTTAGATACGATTAATTGCATTGTGAGCCTTTGTAAATAGTTGACAACTGACGGGTTCCAATGATAACGATCAGTAAGCTTAGTTGCCACCAGCTAAACTCGGATTTTAGGAAGAAAAGTTGAATTCGAACATTTTGAATGGAGATTTATGGTTGAGATGGAAATCTGCCTCAATAAATATGCTTTATTCGGCACTTTATTCGCAAAATACATCAAAATAATTGTTAAAGAAGTTTTCCATATAATCTTGTATTCGGATTTCCTAGACCTCAGGGTTCTCGTTGAGGGTTTGGATCAATTGCTAAACAAATTTAATTAAATTCTCTTTAAAACCCCAATCAACTCACCTTGACTTCACCATCGAATCTGCGCAAATGAGGCAAGTAATTCTCAGCGGATGACTCAAAATTAGATTTAATTTTTCTAAACAACAAATGTTTCGTTTCGAAATCTGAAAACTTACGTAAACGACTCGTGTTTCTCCTGTAAATCGGCAAAAGTTGATGCGTCCTTGAGAGTTTCCTCTTTCAAAAGCAATTTCTAAAGAAATATCGACTTCAATTGGTTTTATTTGATAAAAATGCCGTTTCAAAGATGTCAATGCCCTCAAGAAGGTCCTTGTGTAGTTCAGGAACCAAATCCTTATACGTTTCGATGACATCTCTTGACTCTTGTTGAAGTTCCATCAACATTTGGTTAGCCTAAACACATGAAATTAATATAGTACGCCTTTCAATTCCAAACTAACAAAACCAACAACGAAGTGCAAAAGATACTTGTTTTTCCAATAGAGGAATGATTTCATGCAAACGATGTTTTTTGCAAGCACAAACAGCACAAATCTATAAATACAAAAGGGCTTAATCAATCTTAACAATAGCTTACTTCAAAACGACATTTACTGCAATAAAACATTTCGTCGACAATATTCTAAAATACTTCTATAGAAATCAATTTAAGTAGGCATACCTTTTTGTGGCATTCGTTGCAGCTACGTGCATCCTTAGCATTCATTAAAGCTGCCTCAATTATTTCCATTTGTCGAGTCATTTCGGGCAGCTCATTTAGAAAGTCTAAAGAAAAAATAGTGAATTTAAAAAGAATTCATCTACCATGAAATTGATCTTTCTGTTCGTTGACAACAGTGTGCCTTCGACAAGTTGGACAAGTGACAAGTTGATAGTTACTTGAGGACAACCGACGTGTCTTCAAACAGCATCCCGTGCAAATGATATGCCCACATCCAAGAACAAACGATTTCTTTGCCTCAATTTGATTTGAATCTAAAGCAAGATTTTTTCAAGCAAGTCATCAAACTTACATTCATCCTGACAAATTGGACATTCCGGAATATTAAAAGGCTAAAAGAATCACTATGATTTGTAAATCCCAAATCCAACCTTCACAAGCAAATATCCCTTTGGAGTAAAGACCAATGAGTTTTCTTGTGACAAAACGTCTAAAACAATTCGATTGATTAATCAGCTTTTACTCAAAACAAAAATAGAATAAAACTCACCAATCAAAAAGTAGGCAAAGCTTCTGTGGTTGAAACAGGCACTATCTCCACATTGATGCTTTCTCTTTTCTGGTCCCAACCTCCACTCTTTCTCGAAACATTCGTTGCACATGGCCAATCCACAGCCCAAATGAAATGGAGATCGAGGTTGATTAGCAACTCGAGCAACTAAAAGATTGGCAAATCAAACAAAACCACTTTGTTTACGCTTTAAAATCTAGATTATTTCGAAATCCATAACTGAAAAGCAAAAACTTACACGGTTTCTTGCAGACAATGCAGTTGAGCGATTCAAACACATTCATTTCCTAAAAAGAAAGCATTAGAATTATTGAACAATCAACAAAAGAAATGAACGCATGAAAGAAATCGAATTGAGAGTTTGTGTGTTGAGGGTGGTAAAATTGAGAGAATATTTTTAACTCTACCTAAACTTTTAACGAACTTTTAGATGCTCGGGAGCAAAAGCTGTGTTTTTCCAAAATAATATAAACACGGGTCTTTTTGAAGACTTTTTGAAAGCGACTGCTCGAAAGCTAACCGCCTTCTCTCTTTTCATATTTGATTGAATATGTTGAGATCAAAGTCTAAACCATAAGATATTCAGAGACCGTAAAGGGTTTATTAGAAGAACCCCCTATAGGAGCGTCGCGTAGTCTAAGTTTACTCTCAAACAAACGCTCATATCTCGACATCAGTACGTTTGTTTCTGCGCGCTTGGGTATCAAATTAACAATATAA